TATTAGTATTTTTGAAGTAACGTATCAAAGTGTCGAGTCGAAAACATATCAAAAATGTCATGTCGAAATCGGTGCTTCATAGACTATGAACAACTATGTCTCTTGAACATTATCCTGTTTAATTAAGACTTACTTATGATGTAGTACTTGTTGCCATTTTGAATTTAATAAATTTTCAGATTATTCTCATGACTTCTAAATATCAAAATCTATTTAGTTGTATTTCATTGCATTCTTATGAATTGTACTTATCGTAGGTCAATATAGAATTATTTTATTACACAGAAGAATTCTAATTTAATCAAAAAGAATACTTTCCTTTACTCATTTTGAAACTAGATGAAAAATAAAAAAATAAATTAAGAAATTAAATTACTATTTTAAAATAAAGAGAATAATGCATGGTTAAATTTGTTAGCCGGAAGGGAGACGCGTGTCTCATTTTGATTGGAAGTCATTGAAATATTCAACGAACACCTCTATCTTACGAGAAATCAGAAGGTAACATGAAAATTTCGTGGTTCGCAACTCCTTTTCTTCTCTTCGATGATGGCAATTGGCAACTCATCTGCTAAGGCCTTCTCTCTCTGCAACCGAAACTCTACTTCGTTTACACAGCCAATCAAGATGTCCACTGCATTTCTCTCCTTATGCCAAAACGACGTCGCAACCGCAACCGCTATTGCTGGGAAATTTTTCGGCCAAATTTCGTTGTATCAAACTGCTATGGAACTGAGATTAGCTCACCGGAACATGAAATATATGAAATACGGTTGGATTTATCTCCTAGAATATGATAAATTAAAACAAAAATGAAAGTAATATGTCATTTCAGCATCACATGTAATTCCGATCATTCATGCAAGGATGTTAAAATCGAGATCTTTCCTAAGATCAGAAGGAGGTAAAAAAATTGTAAATCATAAGATCGACACGGATCGTAAGATCTTTAAACTGATTGTTCCTTCAACTTGTATTTTTGAGTGACTACCCTAGGCTCCGGTGGTCCTAGAACACAGGTCACTCCGACGGTTGGCGAGGTTGAAGCAGAGAGGCTCCGGTGGTCGTAGAACACAGGCCACACCAGTAGTTGGCATGGTTGAAGCATCCTTAAACAACTCGTCAGCCATGGATGAATGAACGTAACAGTTGAGAGAGTGAGGGATACTGTTAGATTGATTATGATTGTTATTTGATTCGAATCGGTTACACAACGAAATGCATGACATCCTGTCCGTGCGTGGGTCATAGTGTGTGAGGGAGTGAGACAATCAGACAGCAATGTTTCCATTAATTTTTTTAAAGAAATGATTACCAGAAATATAAAATTCATTATTAAAATAATAAAATACCAAAACCATTTATTTTGCTTGGTCTTTATATTGATCATTCAACTACTTATTTATATTTTTAGCTATGACCAAAAAAGAAAGAACAAATGCTGGTTTCTTTGCTCGTGGCACTCTGATTTCATAAGTTGATATAATTATATATTAAAAATTGATATATGGTATAATAAATTGATATAATTACGATATTTAGAATGAAATAGATATTATAACTCAATGGATTTTAAAATTACTTAAAATGAAATGGAAAATTGAATTTGCACAAATCACAATTTACGTTCCTAGACATTAAACTCAACGAATTCTAGTTCCTCCATAGAGAGACTACCTTCAACTTCCTCATTGAATTTCTGGACGTCCAATGTGTTTTTCTGAGAAACCACTGATTGTTTCAACTCGTGGATATCGACTGTATATTTCTGAGTCACTATCCTAGGCTCTGGTGAGCCTAGAACACAAGCCACACAAGAGGGGTGGCGACAAATCGTCAGCCATGGAGCGACGAACCACTGTATATCGTGCCTTCATCTTGTATTTGCATGCCACAACCTTAGGATCCTATACCCTAGGCTCCGGCGGCCCTAGTACAGAAGCCACACCCACGGTTGGCGAGGTTGAAGTAGCCAGAGAGGGAGGAATATATATTTAAAATTACACTGCCCCAAGCTCCATTGGACCTAAAACAGAGGCCACGCCAGTGGCTGGGGAGGTTGAAGAATCCTTATCGTCATCCATGTACATAGAGTTAAAATTTAACAAATCATAAATATATATTTAAAATCTAAAATATAATATTAAATTAAGGATAAAATATTTATCCTTTTAAAGGATATAGAGTTGTGTTATTTTAAATGAAAGAAAAACACAAACTAATTTTTTTATTTAAAATTTAAATTAAAAAAATCACCCACTTTCTTCCCTAAGATTTCTATTACTTGTGTCTTTCTCTTATTTAAAATGACACAACTCTATGTCCTTTAAAAGGATAAACATTAAACACTTAAATTAAATTAGTAAAGAAAGTGCAAATCATATATATATAATATTCATGTGATCTTTATGAACATTATTTCAGGTGTTTATAAAGAAAATATTATTTCATGTGATATTTGTGAATAAGAAATTTTATCTTTTATATTTATGACTTTAATTTGGTTTGGGCCTATAAACTTTAGCTTGCAACTTGGTAGGCCTTTAAAGCTGTGTTAGGCTTCTTAGTTTTTTATAATAGACTAGGTCAGACTTATAAATCAAGTCTTTAATAGGCTAATTGTTGGGTATGGTTCATACTTCGCATGCTGATGAAGGCCCTAATTATTGGGGTCAACAGAAAGGCAACTGGGGTCTCGCTCCCAGGTGAGCGGGCAAGGGTCCGGGGGAGCTGCCCCGACGAGGGTCCGTGGGGCAGCGCCCTCAGGCCCGTAGAGGCTAGGTACTATTATGAGCCTCTGTTTTATAGTAATTTTCTTAGCAGTTTGGGCTTGGGCCCATGAATAGCTGCTGTTAGGGTTTTCTAATCCTATTTATATTTTCCTTGTAAACCGAGTGACTTGTAACGAGTGGCGGTAAGGAGAATATAGTACAGACAAGCTGGACGTAGCCTTAATTGGGTGAACCAGGGTAAATCATCGTGTCAATCTCTCTACTCTTATCTCTTTTTCTGTTTTCTCGATTTTGTGTGATTGTCGATTTTCAACATTAATAAGCTAATATAGGCTGTAAATATTTTACATAGACTTAAGCTATTAAAGCCAAAATCTAGCCTAACCTGACCCATTTACACCCCTTAATTTCCACATTAGAAAAGGGAAAAAATGTTTCTGCAGTTACTGTAGATAAGTTATCAGCATTTATTACCAAAACGATGTCGTTTTGGTATTGAAATCTTAAAAAATTATAAATATAAAGACTATTATAACTCCGAAATAAATTAAAATTACAAAAACACCATGATTTCCGCCCCAAAACGACGTCGTATTAGGCTTACTGCAGATAACTTATCTGCAGTAACTGCAGAAAAAGCAAACCCATAAAAAAATTGTTAGTAGTAATTCTAGTTTAAGTATGACATCAAACACCATAGACTCATGTTACTTAGACAAACATTTTTTTTCATAACTATTAGAGATTTAATCATCACCCTTTTATTTTTCTTCTTTTCCTCTCCAATTTTATTCTCCACTATCATAAATACTACTGCAAACAAAAATTGTTGGACACTAAGGGGGTGTTTGGTTCAAGTTTTTGGAGAGGATTACCGGTAATCCTTCTTTGGTAAATGTAATTACCACGTTTGGTAGAAGGAATAAATTACGATTCCCGGATATCCAAGGATTACCGGTAATTTGATTTATAAAGAAAAGTCACTATTCAGATTACCAAAAATAATATGGTAATTCGGAATACCAATCAGAATACCAAGTGAAAGGAAAGCACAACAATAAATTTTGAGACAAAAATACCCCAATACACATAAAAATCTAGACCCAATCTATCAATTACAAAAGTAAAAATAGTTTGGGGTTATTTTTGTAAAATAACCTCATATTCCAAGTCATATTTCGTTTTAAACCAAATATGGAATCAGTAATTTTTATCCAATATTCCCGGTAATATTTTGGCGAACCAAACACATCTTTCGTAAGATTCCAAGTAAACTCAATTTCTACTGAATTCCCATTAATCATGATTCCCGGTCACCAAAAAATTTCTCCTGTACCAAACACACCCTAAGAGATACAGTTCAACGGGAAAAACAAAAAAAGGACAACCATGTTGCTCAATTGGGAGGAAGTGAACAAAAATTCTATTTTTATCATTTTAGTGTTAAGAATTCTTTTTTTTCTCTTTTTTTTTTTTTAAGTAAACTCAAGGGTATCCCCACTCTTTCGATATGGGACTAATCCCTATTGTGAATTGAAGGGTACGGTTTTCTCCACTAGCCTCAAATTTCGTAAGATTCCAAGTAAACTCAATTTCTACTGAATTTCCATTAATCATGATTCCCGGTCACCAAAAAATTTCTCCTGTACCAAACACACCCTAAGAGATACAGTTCAACGGGAAAAACAAAAAAAGGACAACCATGTTGCTCAATTGGGAGGAAGTGAACAAAAATTCTATTTTTATCATTTTAGTGTTAAGAATTCTTTTTTTTTCTCTTTTTTTTTTTTAAGTAAACTCAAGGGTATCCCCACTCTTTCGATATGGGACTAATCCCTATTGTGAATTGAAGGGTACGGTTTTCTCCACTAGCCTCAAAGTGCGCCTCGCAAGATTCGAACTTTAAGCCCTTTAGACTCACGAGCCGGACTCTTGGAGCTCAGCACCCTAACCAACTCAGCTACACCTCGGGGTTGTTAAGAATTCTTTTAAGTGACCTTATAAGTGTTAAAGTCAAATTCAAAGAGCAACCTATATTAAATAAAAGCACATATAAAGAAAAGAACTATTTTAGCCCATAAAAACAGAAAATTTTAAAGAATGAATGAGTAAAATTGCTGTCAGGTCTTTGATTTAGTACTTCCATTTCATTAACTAAAAGGCTATTTTAGCTAGAGAACATAAATGTTCTGGGTGTGTCGTCATCCCTCCATTCATTATAATAATGCAAGCACTATATGTTATAACGCTAAAAGTGAATGCTGGGAGAAATTTACGCAGGCTTGGAGCCCGAAAATTCACTTCTTTTTTTGGTAAGTTGTTTAGCATAAACACGTTCATAGCATTTAACAAAAAAAAAAATCAGTTAAACTCGACCTCTTAAGGCCATCGGCATGACGAGGACACTAGGGTGAAAACACTAGAATTGGCATGACTACCTGACAGCAATACGGTTGAGGTTTATATTCACACAGCATCTGATTTCAACTTTGATCTATAGAAATCCTCATCTGGAATCACGGTTGGAATAATCCACGTGCCAAGAGGGTGCTCTGATACCTTTCCACCTAAAAAATTCGGTTGCCAATAAATAATGGCAGCGTACAGTTAGGGTCTAATTATATTATCAGAATGCATTGATGAGTCCAGCAAATTACCTTCTTTAGTGGCTTCAGCGCATCTTTTCTGGTAGCTCAGAGAAAGCTGTGGATCCAGTGATTCCAGTAAACTTTCATACTTATCTTCAGCCTCACTAATGCACTTCGCCTGGAATTGAAAAATTGACATAATAATATCTTAAAAATACTAAATAAACATATTATACAGTTACTATAATTACACCAATTTTAACAGACAGGAATAAAACAACAAACGTCCATACAGGCAAATGATAGTTCCCATTGTGTAAAATACGATGTTATCAAACGTTAGATTGATAGATGTTTTCTTCTTTCTAATGATAGAAGGTGAGGAATCCACATAAGTTGCCAATGAGGTTTGAGTCTAAACTCTAATTGCACCTCCTCTCCCTTCAAAAATGGGTGGAAGGAGGGATCATAGATTTGAAACTCCGATTCCTTCAATCCATGTTCGTGACTTGAGGTTATGCATGATATTAAGTAAAACATTCTTTTATTCAGGTATTTATTTCAATGATCCCACAAGAGAAGATGAATGCTGGAAATATGAAATGCTGGACGTCAATAACACTTAGACTGCAGATCAACATACAAAAGACTATGTTCTGTTAAAAGGCCGATATTTATCCCCCACTGTACATAAAAACTAACGTGGTTCAATCAATACATTTGAAATTGTTACCAGAAAAATATCAACAAATATATAAATTAGCAACCCCATTTGTAATCAGTTTGACATACTCACCAGCATAGCTGGGGCAGTTGAAGCTCCATAAATTCTGACAAACATGCGTAAAATGTTGAAATTATTCTCTAAAACATCATCCTGCACGAGGGCTTTTAGTCTAATTAGTATTCAGACAACAGTATGTCAGCTGGTAGCTACATAATTTGGATTATTGAACTCACCTCGTAGTCATACCTGCAACATTATCAGGACAGGACAATTATGTTGAATAAAAAATAAAATTGAAACGTGCTAGGATAAGACTGAAATCAATAGTATGTTATTACAGAAATGAAACATGAAAACTGACAAAGAAGCAACAAAAAAAATTAAGGGTGAATTTGAAATTGTCTGCAAATTGTGATTGGCAGCTTTCAAAAATTACAGAAAAAAAAAAGCGGGGGTTCTGAATCTGATAACTAAATAGAAAAAATTGTGATGCCAATAGATTTTCTTTTGTGTGTGGTATAAATTGATTTTATATTTTTATTAGTCAGTTTGGTAAAGATTTCTATTACTCCGATAGTAGAAGGGATACACCTTTGGAGTGAAAAGAATAAAAAACAAAAGCAATTGTTATAACACAACTATTTTTTTTTGGTAAATAGAATGCAGCCATTTATTTGTATCTAATTCCATTCTTTAAAACAGAAAGAAAAGAAAAACATTCAGCAAGCAAATGGTGATGAATTTATTGAATATCTATAAGCTTTGAATCCTTACAATAATATATAAAAGAAAAAGAAAAGGCACCATGTTAGGAGCAACTATTATAGTATCCAGCACCAACTGAAACAACAGATAGTACTTACAGATCATCAGAAATTTCCACTAAGAACTCCGAAATTGAAAGAAACTCCATATGCAACTCCTCAACCTTCAAAACAGATTCAGAAGCACACAATTACCTTAATGAAATATATTTAGCTAAAAATATTTTTGTCATTTTTATGAAGAAATTTATGTTGCCAGAAATATCTAAGAAAAAAATCAGATGCCTATCCCAGAAACTATATATATATATATAAATCGGGAGTTAGATGAATAATGCAGTATCCACTAAATATGCTTTGCTTATCAATTGTACCTTAGCTCCTTGCAGTTGATAGAGAAGAAGATTCAGCACTCGGTAATCAAAAGACTTTAAATGAATAGCCTTCATTACATCTTCAACAAGAATCTGAGTAGCAAATTATTTATTAGATTTCAAACAGGAAACTTTGAGACGGATTTGGTTCGATGTATACACATTCTCTGAACAGAATGAAAAAGGTACATGAATTACATATACCTCCTTTTTGTTTATCAGTGCATAACAGAGCTTTCTTTCAAGAGCCCAGTATTCTTCTCCATGTCTGAGTTCTTCTCTTATCCTAAACAAATTAAACATAGAACCAAGTTAAGCTCAACATTAGCTATTCCCCTAGAAAAGTATGATACAGAATGCAGAATACATACCTTTCTGTCAAAAGGCCTTTATGTTCAAGAATAGTCACAAGTGGTTTAACTGGATCATTTGAGAAACAAGAAACCAATACTGGATTCGCTTTCTAAATGCAAAATTAAATTATATAAGAAAGTTGAAAGATATTACTTAAAACTTGAAGATTTAAATTATAAATCCCAAATGCAATCAATCACCTCATCTTTTCCTCCAAACACAAACTCCCCATTGTTCGGTATTTGCAGCAATTTCTCATTCATTTTATCTAGCTGCATCATAAAAGCTATGAATTCTGAGCACAAACAGGAGCTTTTGCAGATTTCATGCTTACTGTTGGAATATATTTCATTAATTTTCAAATAGTAACAAATATGAACAAAATTTTTCACAAAATAAATGCTCCTAGTGGAAAAAAAATACCACACATCAACCTCTCGTATCAGCTGCATGCACGTTGAGTCAAGAATCTAGCCTCAACAAACTAGAAGGCCAAGCAACCCACTCTGAGAAACTGACTTATGCACATAGAAATCTGAGTGTCTGAATGCATAAACAGCCATTGCAAGGCTGTGCAGGGTAGTGAAGTCTAAGCAATGAATTTTTTAATTGCTTCTGCTGAAAATGTGGGATGGGTGCGTGTGCTTGTTAAAAGTTCTCATTTCTCAGTGAGTTGATTAACCTTACTAAGACAAGATTCTTTACAAAAATAACGTGTGGTTAAGGTGGAGGTCAGTGCTTCTGCCACCTAAGATTTGGGGACAGGGTAAACATCAAGCCCCAGAGTGCACATATTGAGTCATTTTGGCAGTTATTATCACAGGGTAAACATAGAAAGGGAGGCATCAAGCATGCACCACAACTGTTCAGGGTTGACGACTGCAGTCATTTTGGCAGTCTGGTGGTTCTTACATAAGCCAAGTCAAAGACAACAAAGAGCCACCTAGGTCGATGCCAGCTGTCATCATTACTTTGCACTCAAAAGATATGCCTTGACCTGTCATACCATCATATTAGCACTAAATATCCATAATTTCAATTGCCAAAATGACATTAGCCCTAAATAGATGTCATGTTGAACACCTCTTTAAAGGTCAGTCAGTTCATAGCCTGCCCTGCCTTCCATCTAGCTTGAGGTGATCTATATATTTTTCCTTCTAGCCGCACAAGTTTTGGGATCTATTTATTAGTTCCACACTGCAGTAGAACCCTATTTATGAACCCCACACTTTCAAAACCAATATTTGACTTGAATAAAAAAAAGGGTGGCTGAATTTAATAACATTAATCTAGTGTGTACCTGATAAATATAACTCTCTGTGAATGAAAGAATAGGTAAGTATTGGAAGATTGATTGTGGCTTGCTTACATCCAATCCATGAAACATAAAATAAGATCTGCACTGAAAAAAGAAGTTCACATTAACATTGGAATAGCTAGGCTCATTTGTTAAATAGTATCAAGCCTTGCACCAAACTACTATTGTTGTAAATTCAATAGAAAGCTGCAATGCAAACCAGATAAATGGCACTTTACTCATCTATTAATCAATATATCAAATGATGGCATAAAGCTGGTATTGTTTGGATAATCAAGTTTGTTTATGTGTTCCAAAGTAAGATGTCTCCCTTCAAATTGATATGCAACTTTGTGTGCATATTCCAAATTAATCATAGAGCATTATAACAAAATAGCATGATCAGAGCAAAGAGATTATTTATTGAATTTGTACTTACAAAATCCTCAAGGGTAGAATTTGCCTTTTGCATGGAATCCAGTCCAACCATGGCTATGTTATCATAACTTTGCAACAAACTATGTTCTTTCATCCGATCACAACTAAGCAAAGCATTTCCCACAAGATTTTGTTCAAAACCTAAGTGAAAGTGAAAATTCAAGAAAAATCCCAAAATATCATCAAAATTAAAATTAAAATTAAAAAAAAATGCAACGAAACATATGAAGATAAAAAAATGAAAAAAAAACTAAACAAATGAGTGGCTCCTTCCTATATGATAGCTTACCAGTACCACTATTTTCTTCTTTGGTGACAATGTGATGTTCATATGCATCCTCGAGAAATGCAGATGAGAGCTGCGAAAGGGAAAATCAAACAACACTCGAATTTCAACCATTATCAACAAAATTGAATGCAAATGCAGAGAGAGAGAGAGAGAGAGAGAGAGAGAGAGAGAGAGAGAGAGAGAGAGAGAAACGTGAAATGAGGAAGTTGAACTCACTGAAGGCATAAATTGAGAAACCAAACAGCACTTGTCGTCCATGCCAAGCTCTCCGCACGGTTCTATCTGAAGCTCATGCAAACCCCCAAACACGAAGAATAGAGAATTCAGTTAGTTAGGAAGCGGTTAGAGTTACGAAACCAGTTAGTTAGATTAGAACTGACCAAGAAGAGCATGAGATTAGCGAGGAAGCGGTTAGAGTGGTGATCGGAGTTTGTTATTGTAACGCCCCTTGATTCCATGAATTCCACCATCCTCTGTACTTTCTCAAGTTTCCGTAGCTCTTCCATTCTCATTCACCTTCCCACGACCACAATAACAACACTGCGTTTGCAAGTTACTGTTAGGGTGATTTCCATAACCACTATATATATTTGATACTTTAGATTATTTATACAATGGGTAATAGTTTTATCGTGTAACAGGATCTAATAATTATTTTCTACTGACTTATTTGTATAAGTGCAGTTCACCTTAAAAAAAGAGAAAAAAAAAAAAATAGAATAAGATCCATCTTGAATTTGTGTGTAGAAGATAAATTTTTTTTATGTAACATAAGAATAATAAATCTCAACGAAAATCCCTTACCACCACGTCACCACTGTTTATCCTTTTTATCGTTTTATTAGCCAATCATGTCAATTTTGTAAAAATTTAATGAAAAACTTATGGTACGAATTAACATTTTCATTAACTATAGTATTTGAGTAGCTCGGCAAGGAGTAAATACTATATTTTGAAAATTTGAGTAAATATTATATTTTTAAAAACTGGCTGGTCAAGTGTTTTGGCAAGAAGCACCATAAAATTTCTTCCTTTTAAGAAACTGGTTTATTTTATCCGTACAATGCAAGGGTTAATTAGGGGATATTGTATTATTAAGATGAAACCTAATATGATAAATTTTCAAAAAAAATAAATATCAATTAAGTTCTTTCGTTAAGAAATTATGATAAAATATGAAAGAATAATATAATATCATGCTCTTTTGATCAAAAATACTAACAAACTATTTTAAATAATAACAAAAGCATACAAGTCATAACACAAAAGTTAAAGTTAAGAAAAAAATTTACACTTTCTTACTTTTCTTTTTTTTACTCACGTTAAAATTTGATCTACGTTTTCAATTCGCATAAATTTGTACTGACTGAGAGAATTAAGCTAATTTGGTTTAGTGCGTGTATGTTTCAAGGAAATCGTAAGGATTAAAAGTCATATACAAATGAAAATGGTTGAATAATTATTATTGTCTGAACTAATATTTAGATAAAATATTATGACGAAATTTTTTAATGCCATATCTTTATTTATATTTTCATAAAACTTAACTTTATTAAGCTTTATAAGAGATTAAACAAAAATCAATATTAAAAACAAAGCAGTCACCGTCATGGTAGTTAAAATTTCAATTTAAATCTTAAATTTTACGATTTTTTTCAATCAAAATACCAAAATTTCAAACACTTTTATGATTTTTTACAATTTTTCTTACCATAGAATTTTACGTTTTACAATTTTTTATTCTCCTTCTAATTTTAAGTAAAATTTCGATTTTAACTACCATGATCACCGTAATAAAACATACAACATTATGCAAGTTGAAAAGTAAATATTTAGCAAAAACCGCTTTATCTGAAAACTTATAGTAATTTAATGACATGACACATTAAGTTTAAGAGAAATATTAAGTCATGTCTTCAACATAGATTTTTCATAACATAGACTTTTCAAAGAATCTTTATTCTCATTTCAGAATTTTAGTCATAAACCATTGTACTTTGTTAATAATGACTACGTGTAAGACAAAAATTGAACCTGAGGAAACCGAATGCTCTTAATAGTAATTTTAATTTTCTTATATAAACTTTTCATATAAGATTTAAATGTTAATAAGTTTAATTTTTAAGTTTTTTGCTGAATATAATGAAAATATTAAAATATTTATACATTCAAGAAAACAAAAAACAGAGACACACATAGTACTGTAATTATAATTAATAAATAATTATAATATTCTTGAACTATTCTCTCACAAAAATTAAGAGCACAATATTGATCAGCTCCGAATAAAAACAACTAAAAGCACATAAAAATTTGGGAAACACTACAATCAAGCAGCACCCTTCCCCTTCTTCCTCTGGATTTTCTTCATGTAAAATTCCAGCTCCTTACCTTCCAGAATGTAGCTGCATAATTAAGGAAAAAGAAAACAGTAAAGAACAAATGAATATAATTCAATACCAACAGATCCCACAAGCCACAACATAATCACAATTTAAGCATTACCCATCAGCTCTGCCACATTGACCAGGTCTAGAAGAAATGCAGGCCAGCAATCGCCCACCACCAAACTGCTCTTCAATGTGGGGATCAAGGTTACGATCTTTCTGGCGTTTCTCCAGTTTTCTCTGCACATGGTTACTCTTTTTGGTTTCCTCTGCAGCAGCATCACCCTCCTGCTTGTTAGACATCAAAGGGTAAAGGTTTAGGCATCAACTTCTATACAGGAGAATGCAATCCACTTCATCCATATGAATTGAATGACAAATTACCGTATCATTGATGTTTTATATATTTATTGGACAGAATAACTAGCAAAATAACATCAAGCAGAGCTATTTATTTCTCATCAAAGAAAATACAATAATAGTTATTGGCCATTACATATTAGAGATCAATAAGCTAATAATCCATGTATTAAGTATAAAATCCGATTTTGTAGAACACAACTGCAAATATGTTTTATCTAGGCATCACAAGTAAAAGAAAAAAATTCTTAATTATAAGATAAGTCAAATAAAAAAATTCTGAGGTAACACTTAAACATAGAAAGATGATGGATTTAATACAATAAACAAAAAATTAATAAATAAATTACTTCTCTGAACATATTCTTCAAGAACTATTCATGCTAAAGGCAAATAAGAATAGCGAAGCAGTATAAATACAACAAAGGACATGAGCTAATAAGTATTAGGCTGAAATATACAAACATTATGAGAACAAAGAAACAGTACATAAAGTAAAACACATCACAAAAGAAGCAAAAGAATAAGTGGAGAAAATTCCAAAGGCATTATCACCTCTGTAGAGTCCTTTTTGGCAGCTGTTTTCTTTTTCCTACCAACTTCAACACCATAGTGCTGAAGGTACCACTGCTTGAATGGAGCAGCATCAACCTGTACAATAGCACTTTTGACAAGAGTCTGAGTTCGCACAAGCTCATTGTTTGAGGCATTGTAGACCACGTCTAGTAAACGAGTCTTGCGAGTTACAGCTTCACTTCCCCATGAAAAATTTCCAGTATCCAATCTCAGTGCCCTCCATTTCACATTTCCACCTCTAACACGAATCCTCCTGACTGTCTTGTTGCTTGATAGCTTAGTGTTTGCTGGCTGGCGACCAAGCTCATACCTATATGGAAACCACCAATATATCTTATTACAAACAAGAATTATCAGTTATCGTAGCAAAGTAATAAAACAGAAAAGTCAACAAAATATGTACAATAATAAACAAAGGTTGTTAAATACAAAAACTAATTAAAATAGATGCACAAAAATTAAAAATTAAGATCTCTGTTCAAAACAGACATAGATAAAGCGCAGGCACATTTAACATGAAATAATAACTATTAATAAGGACCAAATGATTATTCAACTCCATAAATATTTCCAAAAACACATTAGAAAGCTTTATCCTCATTGACCGCAAGACACTCTTGTAGTCTTGTTTACTTTCAGTTTATTTGTTCTAATTAGGATGTTCTATGCCCCTAATTATTGTAACTGTATCTCTTTTTCTGTCCCAATATGGTTTTGTATTCACAAATACGAGACACAACAACTCTATAATCCATTTCAGAAGGAGAAAATTGGAACTATATCTTACAAAATTTCAGAATTGGTTAATACCAGGCAGAACGTAACTTCCAAGTACAAAAAAGTGAGGACAGAATTAAAGAAAGAGAAGTTCTCCTGCTCATTCACGGACCATCTAAAATGATAAAAAAAAAAAAACATGCAACTCAAAGTGAAATGAAATCAAGCGAAATTTCGAAGAGGTTCCCATTTGGCATCAAACTACAACGCAAATTTCTAAAGCACTAACCCTATGATTATTCCATTCCCCTAACAAAATCTAAAAACCCAATGACTAAACCTAGATCCGATAGATGCTCTTCCAAATATGAAATCACATTTCAAATTTCCACCTCAAAATATATCCCACGAATATAACAGCCAACCTACATATAAAAAAATGACATAACAAAAAAATGTTGATACCATTTCCATTTTCGTTCAAAACAGTCTACTCCCCAACCAAGCAAAAGATTCTAACCATAGTAACAACCAAAAACCCTCCACAAACATGCCTTTAGATTTCAGCAACAAAATTAGACGACTCTAAGCAGCAAAAAAAATAAATGCATCAAATTCAAATAAACAAATAAATAAAAAGAGTAAAAGGGCACACTTTCTCTTCTTCCTCCAAGCTTTCTTCTTGCCACCAGTGGCACGCCTTTTGTGCATAGAATCCCTGGAAATACCTGATGAAGAAGGAAAAAAAAACCATCAGCTAAAATTGCACTCACAAATAGTTGATTTTAGGTATTGAGCTAGATCGAAGAACAACGAGAAGGATACGAATCGTGTACCCATCTTGGCGGAGCAATACTCTTTCTCTCTCGCTTCGTCGCTCTGAAACCCTAGCGCTCTCTGTGAAATTACTATTATTATGCCATATATATTCCACCCGTGAAACCCTAGTTGCTGATCCACTTAGCACAGACCCGGCCCAACCGTAGTGTATTTTATTTTTATCAACAATGCATGGGTTAATTAGGAGATAATGTCTTATTAAGATCAAACAAAAAAAAAATAATTTTGTTCAAAATAAATATATCAATTAAGTTATTTTGTTAAGAAATTATGGATCGAAAGTAGTGACAAAAATTTTCAATAGTACCAAAAGCACACAAGTCATAACACTAAAATTTAAGATTAATTTGACACGCTAATATTTTTTATCCATCTTAAAATTTGATCTTCTTTTTCGATTTGCATAAATTTGTTTTAACACGGAAAGAATAAATCCATATCTTATTAAAAAAACAAGTCTTAGTTTTAAAATAAAATTATTAGAAAATTTCAAATATATTTAATTAAATTAGTTTTTCAAAATTAAATATTGAATAAATAGGAAAGAAATACCTTATTATATAAACATGTTTTTATAATAAAAAACATTAAAATAATGTTAGATAAAGTGAAATCAATATTGTTAAAATTGGATTGGACTAGCCCATCAAACCGGTATGATCGAGTCAATGGACCATTGATGAAATTGAACTCGTACCAAATTGATTAACCGCCTTTCAATGGGATTCAACCAGTGTCAAACCAAACTGGTTTTATAATTTGATCATATTTTGAAATTTTGTGCAAAATATTTGTACACAATGCAAGTTTTATACCACATGTGTATATTTTGTTATTTTATTACTATTATTATATTTTCATATAAATTGAACTTAACTAATTCGACTAATAACTCATTGGTTGAATTAATGATATATTAACTTAACTACTATAATAAATCTAAATCCATTCGATTCAAGTTTAATCTCATTGAGTAAAATCAATGTTATATACTTCGGTAAAATGGTCACCTACTTTAGTCTAATTACTTTTATTTTTCCTATCAAGAGTAGGCCTTAAGAGACTAGTGCTGAAGTCTCAAATGGATTTTGCTCTTTTACTCATTGTATCAGCCTTAAAATGCTCAAATAAAAAAAAAGAGGATTAAGAAAAAAAAGGGTAAACTAAGCTTTTATTAACGACAGGTCACTACATAAGCTTGTAGAAAGATATTTGATGATGTAAATTACAAACTTGAATGAGATGTACATGCACAAGCATAAAGAACCAATTGATACTATCCTGTGCTATAACAGAGCACTAGACACCAATCTTAATTTGTCCCAAGTAATTTCTCCTCACCTATATCCACAACAAACTTGATGAATTTTTGAATAAATGTCAACCGATCAACTTTCCTAAAAAATTAAGCAGTTGGGTGATTTTACTATATCTCTCTAACAATTAACGAGCAATCATGATTTATGTACCCAATAAAACTCTTTTTTAAGTAATTTCATTTCCTGTGATGATCAATAATTCAGTGTACACAGCACGAAAGGAAGAAAACGGCACCAAGATTTGCAACTTTGAAATTTCAGGATTTTCCTCCCTTAGCTCAATCCAAACTTCAGATTTGGTGGACCTCATCATCAGCTGAGTCAGGGCACTTCTAAAGTATCTTGTTCTTCACTAGTTCGGCGTTTGCTTTCCCATAGCTTACCAGTCTTCCCAATTGCAAGAATCAGATCAAGTTGTTTTTGCTGTTGCTCCTACATGAACATTCGGATACAATCAAGTCAAACCTTGACATTGAAACTTTGTGGTACTATAACACCAAAGTCCACTAAGGCACTAACATATTTTGCATCTTCAAACAAAGAAGCTAAGTAATCTACAAACCTTGACATTGAAACTTTGTGGTACTATAACACCAACAAACGTGTATCATGCAATTATAACTACTGTCAGCTGTGCAGAGTTTAAATAACCAATTGAAGGGAAGTTTACCTGCATTGCCAGTAAAACTTTTTGAATTTCACCAAGCTCCTTCTCCAAAATATCTGATTGCACCGCAAGCGCTCTTGTGGCCTCAGAGTTCTTCTGGGCCAGAGCTGCACTCTTCAATAGAAACAAAAATATTAATAACTAATTCAAAGTCTTAAAATATCAAAAGGTCGCTCAAAATGAAAGTAAAAGCTAATAAACAATCCAATATTTTTTTTTTACGGTCAATATAGATAACTTATTTACATTGAGCCAAAACGACGTCATTTTGAGGCGAAAATCGAGGTATTTTTGTAATTATAATTTGTTTCAGAATTATAATAATCTTTTTCATTATAATTTTTTAATTTTTCAACCCAAAACGACGTCATTTTAAGAGTGAATGTAAATAACTTATCTACATTCACGCTAGAAATATTAAAACCATTTTTCTATGGCTGATCAGTATAATTTAGTAGCGCTTTTTGTGAAAAATAATGCAACATTTACTGAAATCATTTACCAAATAATGTGCGTTACCCATATTTTATAAGTTATACCAAAAACTATTTTAAACAAATCAGTGTCTCCCTGTAAACTTCGTACTTTGTAAATAAACTTCGTACTTTGTAAATAAACTTCGTACAGAAATCTAAATATTGACTTTCAAGTTTCACACTACAATTATGTTCCGCAAGCAACGCATTGTATTATTATTATTGTTTCAGAATATAATCAATGCATGTTTACTCGAGTGATAAGAAGCTCAGTTTGGCTTAAAGTTAGGTATACAGTTTGACTTGAATGGAAAAATCAGGTGTTTAGTAAACTTTGTTATCGGGGAGTTTGGTATATTTGAATGACTTAAAAAATAAGGAATAATACATTTAAAATTTTTATCAAAGAGGCGAAGAAGTTTAATTTTGACTAAGATTTAAATAATCAAAACTTGCAGCAGAAATAACAACTCATTTTAAATAGATAATTATGACGGGTAATAAAAAAAAATGTTATTTAATTATTCAAATAATATAAATACCGGACAAAAATGAATTTACAGACTTACAGTACAAATCTTTAAATTGTTGTAACTTTCTAAATTAAGTGACAAAATCTTTTTCACCTCGTAAAAAGAGAAAAAGAGACAGAAAATCTTTTTTGTCTTGCTTTATTATATCCATAGATATCAAGTTTGTTTCATGTGAATTATTCTTCAAACATCCAAAAAAACACAAAAAAAAATCATTGTATGCCTTTATAAGCATTAAAAAGCAACCTTAAAGTAAATTACAGAAAGCAAAGGAAGCTCAGACCAAAAAAAAAAACACAAAACAACCCAAGCTTCATAATCATAAGTTCATAACATGACCCCAAAAACAGTAATTTTGCAAGAGAAGAGATTATTACCTCAGTGATAGGATCCTTCAAGGCCTGTCGGGTGACCCGAAACCTTGTTCCCAATTTCTCTATCTGCCTCGACAAAACCCTAATAACTGTCACCGAGCTCTTCAATTCATCCTCCAATTTCTCAATCCTCTCTACCAATCCACCCTTCACTCTCTCCCTACAAATTCGCCTCCATTGACGCCCCCGAACCCACGCTCCAACCAAAACCCCACCCACCAACATCAAAATCCCACACACAACAACAACCCTATTACCAATCGCCACCAAGAACCCATTCTTCGAGCCACTTGCGGCGAGGCCAACCGATACAATCGCTGAGGAAACCAAACATGACAACTCTAGTAACGAAAGGAGAGTATCGAAATCGAAATCGAAGTCGACGACGACGCGTTTCTGCACAGTTCCTTCGGATTCGTGGGCTTCGAGATGAAACGGGTCAGCGGCGCGGGTCGTAAAGGAACGTAATTTCTGAAGCCCGAATAAGTTGAGCTTCGGAATTCGAAAGTGGGTAATGGGAGCGATCGATAGGGAGAGGGAGCAGTTAGTTCTGGTGATGCAGAGTGAATACGTAGAAGGTGAATATGCAAAGAGGTGCTGAGAAGTGAGTATCATTGTTCGAAAATGTTTTATTTGGAGCTTATTGTGATTTGGGTAGAAGGAGCATTGGGATTTATGGTTATGGTTGGTTTTTGAGCATTTTTACCTTCGGTGGCGATGGGTTCGATGGTTTCTCTCTAAGCTTAGTGCCATCGGCGATGGCGATGAAAAGCATACGCTCTAATTAATTAGGATCTATCATTTGCTTGTTAATAAAATGAGATTAATATTACACATCTTATATCCTTCTACTCTCACTTATAAAGAAGTGAGATTCACATCTTTAAAAAAAATTCATCAATTCTCTCTCTCATTATTTATTTCTTTCTCTCACTCATAATGACATATACACACTTTCTATTACATAATTTTATCTCCAACACATCTTAAAGTGGGTGGGTCTAAAAACAATAAAAATAAATAAAATATGAATTCAGAGATAAAATTTATCTCACATAAAACCCTTTATTAAAATAGGATAATCTTTTCTCGTACTCACAAAATAGAGGAGAGAGGAGAGATAATAGATAAGAGAGAGAACAAATATAGAGTGAGTTCCGCTTTGAATTGTGTGTAGAAGAAAATTATTTTCTGACGTAACGTAAGAAAATATTAACCATATTAAAATATAGGGAAATAATTATCTCATGTTGCATGAGATAACAGAGACAAAATAGTGGGATCTACTTTTTTTTTTTTTTTGAAAATGTAATGGACCCTAAAATTTTATCTCTGTAGCATGAGATAATTATCTCATGCAACATGAAATTAATAAATCTCTAAAATTTAAGTAGTTTGTTCACTCACATAAAAAATGTTGGTTAATTAGTTATCATTTATGTTATTAAATTTTTAAGAGAAAAGTGTGTCTTTTAATTGACATAAGTTATATTATTTTAAATGACACAATTTGTGTGATTTAAAATAACATAATTTTTATTATTTAAAATATATAATTTGTGTCTTTTATAGATATAAAATGATGAGATTTACACTTTTATTTTTATTTTTTCATTGAAATTTATATTTTTTTTTTTGGAAATATTCCATCGGTTGATCGTTTCGCGATTAGTCCGATTCAGGGCGGGTCCATGATTAATGCTTTAAACCCCTCCCAAATGTGGTACTTGGGAGGTTCGAACACATGCCCTCACCCCCACCTGCTCAGCTCCCATGCGCCAACTGAGCTACCACCATTTGGTAAATTCATATCTTTTTATGTATATGAAATAACACAATTTGTATCATTTAAAATACACATATATTTTTTTAAAATTTTAAATGTTTAAAATACTTTTACGAAGTGTCCATTTTCCTCGTTAGTTTGGGCCGTTGGACCTTACGAGGTCACGCGAATCACGATTTAGTAATTCTGTTTTACCCATTTCTACAGCTCACTATTGAATTATGAAACTACCGAGTCTTATTAGGGAAATTTGTGTATCATTTTAAAGGAGGTAAAATTATGTCTTTTTAAATGAGAAAAAAAATAAATCATAAAAAAAAAGAGTGAATAAAAAAAAAAGATTTAGGTCTCATCTCTTTGTAAAAATAAAATGACATAAGTTGTATCATTTAAAAGAATAAACATTTTTCTTACGTTATTAATATACTTTTGTAATATGTAAGTCTTGACATGGGGAAGAGCAGATTGCATTGCAACAATTTAAATCCATATATTCTGGTTACATGTTTCATAATTCTACTACTGTGTTAAGGGAAGATACACTATGATGCACATATCATATTGATTTATTATGTTTAAGCGTATAGGACTAGGATTATTTGGTTTAATAAATTAAAGATATTTTACGATTTCATACTTCCATTTTCATTAATTATATTTTATTCCATTATTCGAAACAATAAATAAATTAAAAATAATACCGCCTTGTTTGTTTAGTACCAAAGAAAAACCTCCTCTTTGGATACCAAAAAAAAAAAAAAAACTCCTCTTTAGAAAGGCTTGCACATTAATGATTCTAAGAAAATGATAATGGCAAAATGATCATACTAGACAAATCTCGAAAAGAATTACCTTCATTCGAAAATATTTTTCAATGTAATGTAGTCAAAGACTCAAACACGTAGTTAAAGCATGTGTCACCAATCCCACATTTAGGGACAATGATCATATTGTCACTTTTTAGGCAAAATTTTACTTGATTGCCATTTCTGAAAAAAAAATTTGCCAAAATGCCACGCCTGAATCTCGCTGATCTGACAAGCGGGAATGGACTGGACACGTGTCAGCGTCTGAATGGTCAACTATTCTCGCTGGGCCGCCCAGCTAGAATGACAGAATGCTGACACGTGGCAAAAGTACAGACATGCAGAGAATGCCTGTGCTTTTGCCACGTGTTAGCATTCTGTCATTCTAGCTGGGCGGCCCAGCGAGAATGGTTGACCATTCAGATGCTGACACGTGTCCAGTCCATTCCCGCTTGTCAGACCAGCAGGATTCAGGCGTGGCATTTTGGCAAATTTTTTTTCAGAAGTGACAATCAGGTAAATTTTTATGAAAGGAGTGGCAATATGGTCAATGTCCCCCACATTTAACCAACACAGTACCTACTACCACCGGTCCCACACCTAAGCTGTGTATCACTTTGTGCCATGTTACCCACACTTAATTGATACGGGACTAATTTCGCGCTGAAGTCCCACACCTAAATCGTGGTGGACTTGTTTTTTAAATGAAAAAGTGCTTTTAGTATTATGTGGGACTTGCATTTTCGGTTGGGTATTCTGTAGTAAATTGTCGCGCTTTTAGTATATATCTCAACTTAATGGCGGCCCTATGCTATTGCAAGTGGCCAGTCATGAATTTTTGAAAAAAAAAAAAAAAAAAAAGCTGCAGTCAGAGATCCCTACCAATATTGTTAAAATTGATATTTTAAATAAAATTGAAAAATAACTAAAAAATCGTAAAACGAAAAATCATAAGGTAAAAAAATCGTAAAAAATCTTAAAAACATAAAAGCGTTTGAAATATGGGTAAAATCATTTTAATGAAAAAAATCGTAAAAACGTAAAATCGTAGTGATAAATCGAGATTTTAACAATTATGATCACTACATATAACTCATAAAACATGTTGCTTATACATGTCCACCCTATAAAGATATGTCTATCTAGTGACAGATTTAAAAAATTTTATTTATGTCTGCACACACAGGAACGGGAGTTTGGAGGCGGCGTCCATGAAAATATTTTTTAAAGAAAATTTAAAATATATTAAAAAACAAAAGAATATAAACAAGAAAACTTCAACTTAGAGTAAAAAAAAAGAGTAATCAAGAGTCAATTAAGTTGTTAAAATAGAACAATTACAAAAGTATTTCTCGATTTTTCATTCCTTGAAAATATTACATTATATCTTCATCATCAATTTTATCAATTTTATTTGTTAGCTGTTTTTTAGATATAATCGGGTCTGTTTGCTAGTTAGGGTTTTATAGAAAAACAAATTTTGTTTATGATGATATATTGAATGTTGCAATTATTTTTCGTGTTAATGTTAGCATTTAATACTGAATCCAAATAAATTTAAAATTAAATAAACGAAAAGGAAATAATCAATTAGAAAAATTTAGATATATACAAAGAAAATAAATAAAATATTAAAAAATTGAGTAACAAATTATTTTTAAAAAATTTCTTTTTCAAAAACGAAAGCCGTTAGAATGGAATAATATTTTATTCAAAAAAAACAAAACCTCCTTTTCTATTTTGCTAAAAATGAAGCCACCTCCTCCATTTATAAACAAAATCCCTTACGAAAAGAAAAATTTCCCGCAAATTTATGTCTGCAAGTGCAGATAATTGCACACATGTCGGTCCGCCTACATAACACATGTCCATCAAACATTGTTATAAGAGATATTCATATTTAGCTTTATTATCGTGTAGATAAAATTATGGTACGGTTGAAAATTTTATTATAAACAGATATCTAAAATCATTTTAGCTTTTGTTATTATAATAACTAAAAAAATTAAAAGAAAAATATCATGAATGTGGGGTTATAAAGTAAATACCTCATTTTTCTTTGTAGAGTAAAAAAGGAATATTGTAAAGTAAATTGTCTCTATAATAATTCAAAATGTGTCAATGGTGATGAGAAGAAGTGCAAATTCCTTTTTATTTTTTAATGTATTTAAAAAAATTTAAACAAATTTTTAACTCATCATTAAATGTGGAGACATAAATAAAATCTTTTATGTCTACTGTTGATCTAAACCACTGCAAAAAAACAGTTTTTGACACGTGGGTAACTTTGATTTGATCATATGTGATGCAACTCGATCACAAAAGTGGCTTATTAAAGTTGTTTTTACGAAATATCAAAGCAACTTACAAGTTGAGATTGACCCACGAAAACAAAAAATGATGAATACATATGTTGAAAACTCGATATCGACCACATTGGAGAATGGGGGCAGGAGAATAGAAGCTATTCTCCCGAAATTTATTATATGTAAACATTATTTTTGCTATTAATATTACTCCTATCCTGCACGTGGCTGAAGTGGGGACAAGGTGAGCGAGGACATCCAGAGTTTTCTTATAGATCTGATTAGGTGGGGACGGGCAACATTTAACTGTGGATGTCATATCATTGTTTCAATTTTTAACTTTAGAAAGTAAGAATACGGGATTAGTCCGGTTGGTAAAAACTAGTTAACCCGAGGTACCATTTAACATGATATGAGATAAACGTGTGATATAATTGATTAGCTATATACACGAGGGGTTGGCAAAAATGAGTCAACCCAAAATACCAGAGATACCATTTAACATGATTCGAGAGAAACGTGTGATATAACTGATTAGCTATATACATGAGGGGTAATAGTGGTGTGTGTAAGGGTGTTTCGTGGTGTCCTACCATGTGTGTTACAGATGTTTATGTGCTCTTCGACAGTTAACACTTTGTACAAGCTTTACACGGACCACAAAATAAATGAAACAGATCTTAATATGTGTGGCATAATATCTTGGATAGGATCCCAGCTATTAACCTATGTGCTTATTCTGATGTTTATAAATGCCTATATTTTAATGACTAGATGAATAATTTTTAATTCCTTAGACCCTTAGGAATCCTCCTAAGTACTCCTGAAAGAAAGTATTGATACTTTTGGCTTGCTATGTGAACTGACAACACTACAAGTATAGTCCGTTACAGTTAGTTCTAGCCATGATGGAAATCACTCTAACTATATGGTTCCTAAGTATACGAGCTAACTCGTGGGTCAAACGAGCCAGTTCGCGGGTTGAGTTTTTTTTTTTTATATAAAAAAATACAAAATATAATATACAAAAATGGACAAAATCTAAATATGTTGTCATCATTTTTTTTTCTTTCTTCTATAAACTTAAGTCCCTAATCTTCTCACATCTCTGCCATTTTTATATTGTTACGCTGTGCTTGCTCTGTTTGGTTCAAATATTTTACTCACTTGGTAGCAAGTGGTTCTGATTGTTTCTTGATATTGATGCAAATTTGTTGTGAAGAAAATTCAAAAATAAAATATTTTGCTTTTATTTCTCATTTGGTAACCTTTTGTTTAAGCTAATGGAAGCCACATAGCTGGTGCATTAATACTACATGGTCACACTACAAAAAAACAGGCATTTTGCGACGGTTCATTTGTGGTATACGCGACGGTTACAACCGTCGCTAAATGCATTTTTGCAATTAGGGGCAGTTGTAACCATCGCGTATACCAAAAATGAACCGCCGCTAAATGCCTGTTTTTTTGTAGTGTCATTTAAATAGGCTGAAAACGAGTCAGCCCACGAACAATTTCGAGCCAATCAGCGAGCCAATTTTCGAGCCAACTCGCGAGCTATTTTTTCAAGCCAACCCATGAGCCATATTTTTGAGCTAACCCTAACCCAACTCGGGTCGAGTTTTTTGACTTGTTTTTTTTTTTCGAGCCAACCCCAACCCAGCTCGTTTTTTTCGGGTTGAATGCGGGTTGGGTCGGGTCAGGCCGGGTTGACCCGTTTTGCCAACCCTAGTCTTGCACATGGTATAAAATGACGCACAGCTCAAGTGTGGGATTGATGATCAAGCGATGGTTATCATATTGTTCAATAGTGATCAAAATGTTATTGTTCATCAAACCTTTTATTTAAATGTCACGCGAATAGTGTATTCCCAATATGTCATGTGGAAAAGTTTGCTAGGCACTATAGTGAACACAGTTTGTTGACGTGTCACGTTTTCGATAGACATCAAATTCGCTACATGAAGTAGCGAACTTGGTCGCAATACATAAAAATTATGCTACAATGACATATCAACAAATTGAGTTTCCCTATGTCCAGCGAACTTGTCCACATGACATATTAGAAAATAATATTGTTCGTGTGGCATTTGGATAAAAAACTTGATGAACAATAACATTTTGGTCAGTGTTCCAATTAGATGCTAGATTGGCAACGCATGCTTTGACTGCGTGTTTGACTGCATTACATTGAAAAAATCTTTTTCAGTACAGATTAACTAGGTAATTTTTTGTGAGATTTGCTCTAGTATGGTCGGTTTGCCAAATTATAACATCCAATACTTGCTTCAGTTTTCTGTAACATTTGAAATGAAGTCACCAAGAGATCTAAGAGGGTGGCAAGGGTATAGGGACTTGGGACGGATCATGCCTGCCAGAGGTTAAGACTAACCAAATGAATGTTGTTGCTGGTTAGCACCAATTCAGGTGCCATTCACCCTTACAGTCAACGGTTTCGTACACATAAATAGAGTAGAAAAAGAAAGGAAGACGGTTAAGGATGAGTTTTGTTTCGCTTAAGCTGAGCGTAACCAAACATAACTTGTCCCATATGTTATAGGTACGAGAGAGAGAGAGAGAGAGTGGGGGACCAAACCGGTAAACTCCTCGAAAATATTTGCCACCGTGGGCCACGTGAAGATTTAAGTATCTTGCAGTCTTGGTATTGGTAGGTGAAGAATTTCAATTAAGTCATTGGTAGATGGCGGCTGCCCATTGGTGGCATTGATTTGTTTTTTTTTATTTGATGGGCCAAAGCGCATCCATTGCTCTACTTTTAATTATTACTACTACTGTACTCTATAATAATTGTACTAATAATTAATGAGTTAGTTGCCCAAATTATCCTTCCTCGTCTAGTTGCAGGATACACACCACGTGTCTTTTAAAATTACAAGTTTAACCCGTGATGTTGACTTATTCACAAAACATGCCCTTCCCAAGATATCGAAAAATTACACAAAATAAAATAAAAAAACCAATTTTAATATTTGAGTCAAAAATTATAATTTTTTAAATTTTTATGATCAAAATTTTATGCTATATATCAAGAGAAAAACTAGTCTTCAGTTACACAGGAGATGAGTTTATTTTTCAACAGATACATCAATTCTTGAGCTTTGTTTTTTTTTTTTTTATAATTATATGAGTCCTGCCACATGATTATGAGAATGGTAGGAAATATTTTCTCTCATATTAATAGAGATTAATAAAGTCCATGTATCAAATTAACATGACTGATTTGACCACAAAAGTTGCTATACTTAAAAACGTGTTTGGTGGCCTCAAAATATATCATGTAAACTCGCTGAAAATTGAAATAAGTTTGGTAGCATGACAGTTTGAAAAAAAAAAAAATTCTTCATGCAGCATTCAGCAAAAATTTTTTTGAAAAAAGAGAGCAGTAGAATCAGTGTTCCAAATTGGGAGTGGATCCTCTCATGTGAAAAAATTGTTATGTGGTTATGTTATTTGATCACAACCACTTATTTAAAAATTATATACTTTTATCTCTCTTATATCATCATCAATGAATGGTTGTGATCAAATAACATGATCACATGACAATTTTTTTACATAGGATGATCCACTCCCTTTCAAATTAGGTATCCTTCCTCTTGCGAGATACACTCTCCACGTGCCTTTTAAAATTACAAGTCTAACCCTTGACGTTAACTTATTCACAAAACATGCCCTTCCCAACTAATCTTACCTTTTCTGACTTTTGACTTTTTTAACTCTACCGAACCCTTTCCAATCTCCTCTCAAATCTCAATGCATTCATTCATCAAACATCTTTCTATAAAACCCAACCACTCAAATTCAATGACACTCACATTCTCGGTCTTGCTACACACAAGAGAAAGAGAAGGAAGAGAGAGAGAGAGTTCAAAGGGAGCAAGAAAGCAAAGCTTAAAGCATGGCTCTTTCAAGTGCAAGTGCATATTCTCTCTCTTCCAAATCATTGTATGACACTACTCAGATTCACCAACCCTCTTTTTCCTTCATTTCCACCAAACATACCCACCAACCAAGATCTCTCCAACCCATCTCAGCCGTCCACGCAGCTGACCCAACCAAAAGCTCTGTAACCGCCAACAACAAGCCCATCACCACAACCACCACCTCCGGGAAGTGGAGTATTGACAGCTGGCTGTCGAAGAAGGCTTTGCAACTTCCAGAGTACCCTGATAAGGATGAGCTGGAATCGGTGCTCAAAACCATCGAGTCTTTCCCACCCATCGTTTTCGCCGGCGAAGCCAGAAACTTGGAGGAGAGGCTTGCGGAGGCAGCTATGGGCAATGCGTTCATCTTGCAAGGTGGTGACTGTGCCGAGAGTTTCAAGGAGTTCAGCGCTAATAACATAAGAGACACTTTCAGATTGCTTCTTCAGATGGGTGTTGTTCTTATGTTTGGTGGACAAATGCCTATAGTCAAGGTTAGTTTTGTGGCTTTTTTGTTTTTTCTAAGAACTAATTTAGTCCAAAACTTTTTACATAACGGCCTTGACATAAGGGTTGATTGGACTTGAAAGATAGATAATGTATATGTTCACTTATATGTGCTAAGAAACTCTGTAAGATGAGATTAATTATTAATTAAATAGAACAGTGATCATCTAACCCGTGACACCGAGATTCTAATACCATAACCAATTCAACCCAAAATTTAAGTTATGAGTATTAATGATTTTATATAACTCTGATAGTTTCTGCATTTGATTTGCTTTTCTTACATTTAAAAAAAAAATAAAGTTTCGTTTTTTTGTGTTGTTACTTGTTGATTTAGGTGGGGAGAATGGCGGGTCAATTTGCAAAACCGAGGTCAGATCCTTATGAGGAGATTAATGGAGTGAAGTTGCCGAGTTACAAAGGGGACAACATAAACGGTGACGTTTTTGATGAGAAATCAAGAATCCCTGACCCACATAGAATGATAAGGGCTTATTGCCAATCCGCAGCTACTCTAAACTTACTTAGGTCCTTTGCTACTGGAGGATATGCTGCAATGCAGAGGGTCACTCAGTGGAATCTTGATTTTGCTGAGAACAGTGAGCAGGGAGATAGGTAAGCAATGTTTTTTTAAATGATATTTGAAACATAATCTATGAGCAATGTTAGGTGTCATATAATTGTGTTTTAAGAAGGCATTTTAGATTTTTATGATGGATAATAATGTTTGGATGGTTAAAACAGGTACCAGGAGCTTGCTAATAGGGTTGATGAGGCCTTGGGTTTCATGGCTGCTGCAGGACTCACACTTGATCACCCTGTTATGACATCTACTGAATTTTGGACATCTCATGAGTGTCTGCTATTGCCTTATGAACAATCACTGACCAGATTGGATTCAACTTCTGGTTTGTATTATGATTGCTCTGCTCACTTGCTTTGGGTTGGAGAGCGTACACGACAACTTGATGGTGCACATGTTGAGTTCCTTAGAGGAATTGCTAACCCTCTTGGTATCAAGGTATGTGAGATCCAGATTTTATTATTTTATTTCTTAGATTCATTGTAATTACTCAGATTGCACAATTTATTAACCACATAGACGAGATAAGTACAAAAGATGTTTTACTTGGTTGTTAATTTGTTATACTTAAATATATACCAATACTTATTCATATAAATCATGACTTAGAAGCCTTTTTTTATTGCCAATTTCATGACTGATAGTAATGAGGGTGATACAGGTCAGCAACAAAATGGATCCAACAGAGTTAGTCAAGCTCATTGAAATCCTGAATCCTCAAAACAAGGCAGGAAGGATAGCAATAATAGTCAGAATGGGTGCTGAAAATTTGAGAGTCAAGCTACCCCATTTGATTAGAGCTGTTCGTAGATCTGGGCAAATAGTGACATGGGTCTGTGATCCTTGCCATGGCAACACCATAAAGGCACCCTGTGGCCTCAAAACAAGACCCTTCGATGCAATTTTGGTACATAGTCTCAACCTCTTTCTACTTAAGTAGCTAATTGATCATTCATACTATTCCTAAAGAAACATAAATTAACCGGTCTAATTATGTTTTAGAATTTTATTTTTATTTTTATTTTATTTTTTTTGTCTTTACAATTATTTATAGTCATGCTCATTGTATTTGTGTTTGTAGAATGAGGTTCGAGCATTCTTTGATGTTCATGAACAAGAAGGTAGTCATGCTGGAGGTATTCATGTAGAGATGACTGGTCAGAATGTGACAGAGTGCATTGGAGGATCTAGAACAGTGACTTTTGATGATCTGAGCTCTCGATACCACACACATTGTGATCCAAGGCTTAATGCATCCCAATCTCTTGAGCTTGCATTTATAGTTGCAGAGAGGCTAAGGAAGAAGAGAATTGGAACTACAAATATCCTCTCTAAGGACTATTAATCAGCACTAGTTTTATGCTTTGGCTTCTCAAAGGTTGCAATTAGAAAATCTCTAGCTATTAGCAAATAAGTTGGTTAATGCTTTGTCATTTACCAGAACCTCTGTATCAGCTATATCATGTGCACCTCCCAACCAATTGTGTCGTTTCTTGAAGAAAAGGGCAACTTCAGATGCTGGGGGCTACGGGCTACGGGCCATCAGAGGAGGAGATATAGTATATTTACAACTGTTGGTGTTGAATCTTTCTTCTTTGATTTGTTCAATTTTCAATTATTTGATCCCATGTTGATCTATGTACCATGAAGATGTTAAGTGGGGTCGAGGTTCGTTTATGATTTTGATGTATAAATAATGCAGACAATACCTACGTAGCATAAGCGTGATTATTGTTATTATTATTTGCCACTTTAGGGTGAATTTATCTTTATTAATTCTAGCATTTCTTTTCATATTTATGTGCGGGAAATATTGAGAACCGTATTAATGTTATCTCTACTACAGGATACACGGGAGATTATGGAAGAGCCCCTAAAATTTTTTTTGTTTCAATAACGTTGTCTAATGTCCTCAATGTTTTGATCGTTTTTATAGTTGTATGCGTGTGTGCCTGAAACCAATTCCTCTTTTCATTCAAGCTGTGTGTTCTTCATATATCGCTGCTGATCCTTGCCCAATAATCATATGATATCAATCACATTTTCTAGCATTTAATACGTAACTTTCTTTGTCCCACGAAAAATATATAATTTTTAAATGAGTGGTTGTGATCAAATAACATAACCATTAAAGAACCAATTCAACCCAAAAGCTTAAGCTGTTGGGTGAGGCTACATTAATGTCTTTATATATCTCAACACGCCCCCTCACACGAGAGCCCAGGGCTTGAAGGATGGACAATGCACAGGCCCACCTACCTGTGCGAACAAAGAAATTCCACCTCAAAGAAAGTGGGGGGCAGTGAGGATCGAATTCCACCTCAAAGAAAGTGGGGGCAGTGAGGATCGAACCCGGGACTCGAGGCTCTGATACCATGTAAAGAACCAATTCAACCCAAAAGCTTAAGCTGTTGGGTGAGACTACATTAATGTCTTTATATATCTCAACAATTACTACTTTTCCACATGAGAGGATCTCCTCTCATCAAATGGCAACGTGTTAATTATTAAAATTTCGGGGACAACCTGTCGCCAATTATTGGTGATACCTGTAAGACTGTAACATTTATGTCGCGAACAGTGAAAAGCTAGGGAAGGATGCAATTATGAGACTACTAAAGTTACTCTGAGAGGACATTTTTCTTTTTTTATATCAATTTTAATTATCTTTTTGAAATAAATTGGTTGAAAATATTAGCTAGATATTAGTGAAAATTGAATGTAGATTCTCTTCGTACTTGTATTGCCAACGGAGCTATTTTCTCACAAACATTTTTTTCATAGAGTAACATGCTATGAAGTTTTTGATACAATAAAAGTAAAATATCTTTATACTAAGAATTTGTGCTCAATAATTGTTCAAGAATGCGTGTGTGGGTGCTCGCCTTTTACTTAAAGGGGAAACCTACGTTAACATAAACTGTGCTTGCTTCCCAAAAACTAATCTGGATGGGATGAAAAGAGAGAGGTGAATGACGATTTGAGGGTAAACATTAGAAGGGGAACGACAGATAATTTAAGCGTGAATTTGACTATCTTTCTTAAAACACATGGCAATGAAATGAAAAGGAATTTACATTAGCAAAAACAGAATATTCCTGGCCTACACAAGCGCGCAGGGTAGCTCGGGACAAATAACAGTGACATGCAGTTGGCCAATCTCAATCATCACGTGTTCACCTAAACCATAAAGCTGAGGTTGATGGGATTTTACTTTATTAAATCCTGTTCAGCACAATTTTATTTTTTTAAATTTAAAAATTATTTTTTTAAAAAACTTAAGAATAAAGTTAAAAAATATTTGATGATTATATAAAGAGAAATACTTTTTTTATGTTATAGGAAACTAGTTATCTTATATTCTAAAAACAAGATTGCAAGTAGGACCCATAGGTAAGAGGAGAGAGAAAAAAAAAGTGGGATCCACCCATCTTTTATGTGTGTAGAAAATTTAGTTATATCATGTAAAATGAGATAAATATAACTCGTATATCAAATTATGGAAAAAGTGTATGTCATTTTAAAGGATGTAAAATTGTGTCATTTTAAAGGATGTAAAGTTGTGTCATTTTAAGAGAGAGAAAGAAATAGATAAATGAAGAGAGAGAGTTAACAAAAAAATAAATAAAGGTGTGAGTCTCACATCTTTGTGAGAGTGAAATGATATAAGTTGTGTCAATTAAAACGATAAACACTTCTCCCAAAAACTATTTCAATGATTTTAAAGGAGAGAAAATGATATAATTAATTATTAAGATGAATTATTAAAATAAAGAAAAAAAATTAACTACAAATTTAAAATAAGAATAAAATTGTATGATAATTATAAGGACTCCAAAAAAAACTAACATACATATTAAAAAAAGCTCCTTACAAAAAATTTTAATTTTAATTTTTTTTCTCTGTTATAAATTTTTTTTTATAATAAGATTTTGACAAAATTATGTTTGGTTAAATCTTTATTTTTAAGGAGAAAAGAAGTTAAAAATAAGACATGCCAAATAAACATTTAGGAATGTATGATACCATCATCAAATAATTCAAATAAGAGATATTTGGGCACTATAATATTTCCATCTTTTTGACATTTTTTATTTTGAGAATGAAAAAATAAAAATAAAAATATGTATTTTGTTATTTAAAAAAGAAACAATGTAAAAAGTGTCAAAAGAAATAAATATTATTATTGTTTAAATAAATTTGACGAGGAGTGCGAAAAAAAAAAAACTGATGCCTAGCTACATTTTAGAACTTTCTGATTTTATATTCGTCTATGAGCAGCCACGTACACTCATTCCCATCTTTATTTTTTTTTTGTCTACAAGTATACTCATAGTACAAACTAACATTTTTCATTAACTATATGGCTACTCAAATATATTTGAGTAACTTAGAAAGGAGTGAGTACTATATTTTAAAAAGTTGAGTAAATAGTATATTTTAAAAAATTGGCTGGTTAAGTAGTTTGGCAAGGAGCGCTATAAGTTATTTTTTAAGAAACTAGATGTATTTTATCCGTACTAGTCAATTAGGAGATATTGTATTATTAAGACGGCGCGTAATATATATATATATATATATATATATATATATATATATATATATATATATATTATTTTTAAAATTAAGTTATTTTTAAAAAACATTATGAAAATTTAGTAATACAACAATTATATAATATCATGAATTTTTTTTATATAAAATACACACAAGTCACGACTCTATGTTGTCACCTCCTGGGTGCTGATGCCAGAGGCAGCACAGGAGGTGGTAGGTAGCAGTAGCACGCGGTAAAGGTGGCCTAATTAAACCTGATGCCTTGATTCATTTAGGAACTTCATGATTTTATATTCATTTACGAGCAGCTACGTAGACTTATTTCTTCATTTCTTTCTCTGTCTGGTCCACAAAAGATACTCATCTTATGCTGTATTTTTCTCAGCCAACAAAAGACAACAAATAAATAAACTAGACCCACAAAAAATTTAAGTTGAATGAGCCCACGTAACCCATTAACGTCCCCACCCGAACTCTCAAAAGAGCATAGCCAGAGAGACATGACAAGGACGCAAGAGCTTATGCCATGTGGATTGTGGGTGCTGGTGACCACAAGTGGAAAACTAGAAGTAATCATTTTGGTTGCAAGAATGGTACGGCAAACCATTCAATGATCAATCTTGGAATTGCTCCTTCCTCTCCGTATGTTACCAACGATTTTCTTTTATACACAAGGCTAGCTTCCAACTAATATTCAAATCCACTTCCCTGCATGAATCAAGGGTTTGAAGGTACGACTCATATGTCACAAGTCATAACCCTCAAACTCTGTTAAACTTCATACTTCAATTATTACGATGAAATGAATTTGAAAGACAGAGATTTAGCTAGATTTTGGTGCCGTTGGATAAATAATGAGGATGGATGTGTTGATTGCAGTCATTGCCTTTGGCTTTGAAGCACTGAATAAATGAAGTGGTTGGATGACAGCTACCTTTCAAACTTTCATCCCCTCCGATCTTTTTTCTTTTTGACGAAGTGCACATGCACAGTAACTAATAAAATTATTTTGGATAAATTACACAGCAAGACATAAAATTGTACTCTGAACCATCTTCCAAGTACCAAAGACGAAACAAGCAAGACCAGTAACAAAGCCTAATGACAATTGGGAAATGAATACTCCCCAATCACAGAGAATACAACCCTGATAAAGATTAGTACAACGCTGATAACGATTAGTGTCACTAAATGCTACCTAGATATGGCTAGATCAAATCGAAGCAAAAATAATTGTTGCAGAACGCACCCATCCTCATATCTATAGCATCTACGATCTAATAGTATGGCATGTACCGACCTGGCCTTCTAAACCTGGGAGCCTTTCTGCAGTATGTTTAACGAAAAAAGAAACGAGAAAACATCAATCAAAATAATTTGGCTCAACATAAGTAAATGCAAATGTAAAGGAGAGGCATGTAAGCAGCATACCCATATCCATAAGGGGAGTAGAAGTAAGGAGGAGGATATGGTCTCCTGATGTGATACCCCATGTAAGGATTAAAACGCCTAGGACGAAATTGTTTCATTCCAGGAACGTTGGTCCTCTTTGGCATAACCTGGAAATATATAAATCAAAATAATTAAAAACTACTAATTAACTAGAACGATCTCATGGCTAATTTAAACCTAACATTTGCATGCACTTCACAAATACAAGCAATTAAAACAACATGCCTTCAATTGACGCCCATGTAATTCAGATTCGTTCAGTAGGAGACCCTCTTGAACAGCTTCAGTTTCAAGGAATTCCACATAAGCAAAACCTTTAGGCTGCCCAAACTTGTCTGTCAGGATAGTTACCCTGTTCACTGTACCACACGATTGAAAGTGTTGCTGCACTTCTTCTGGTGTGCATGCATAGTCAACCTGTAAAACACAAATAAATTCCCAGAAATATTGATGCTAATAATGAACAATATAACATAGGACACATCTGAATAAGTGACCATAAAAAGAAACTTGACCGCAGAACCACTCAAGTAAATATTATTTTATCATATTACCCCAATATGTTCAGTTAAAACCTTTATAAAATGCAAAATATAGAAGGTTAAACATAACACTACTTATGCATTATGCTATACTCAATCAAGAATTGTATAAATGACTCAAATAGTTCATATAAAATTCCAGAATTCTTAAATCTTTTGTGTCCCCCACCCCCCCTTTTCTCCCCAACATAAAAAAGCAAAAGAATCATAGGCAGGCCTCTGAATATATCAGCACATAACTTGTCTCCCCTATAAATCCAATTTGTGAATTTTATTTTCAAAGGATGCCAGGCCACCCTCTTAGCACTCAAATCAGTGAATGGTAGTTATTGTCTTCCACAAACTCAACAGAAATCCGTATTTTCCCTACTCCTTGGGAAATACTTAACTACTAAGATATCCACCATTACTGACTCTGTAAACCACCAACTCAGATCAGCACATGATATCCCAAATACATATCCAAACCAGGCCATGAACCCCATCAAAAAATTGCTTATTACAACTTTCTAATGCTCATACTGACTCATTTATGGGATCTTTTCAATCTCCAGAGGAACCTTTTCATGCTTTCTACTATTAATTTTCCTCGTCATAGCAAATTTATAAAAAGCACCACCATTTTCTGGTCTACAAATTACCCACCCAACAATGAGCAAGTTTGATATGTTTATCGTATGAAAATTTTAAAGCAATGGGTCATCAATTAAGAAAATGACTAAGAAAAGCTTTAATAAATTGCTCAATTCTAACCCTTTTTTAAAAGGCTACAGTATAAGAATTTTTAGAGGTACAATAGAAGAGGGGAAAAGGGAAAAAATGAAAACCATCATACACAAAGCATAAAATGAACTTAATGTTCAACAAAAAGGCTTGACATTAGGAAGAAAAAGCCCCAGCCAACATATATCAGGTAGTCTAAATCATAGAGGTGAAAACAAATATTATGAGATAAAGACCATAGGGCAGCTGCCAACCCATTGGCACGGCTGCTAAATGACACACAAAAGAGGCACCCACAGACCTCATTGAAGTCAGCAACAGTGCTATATGACTATGCTTGCATGCCTAACACTTTCAGAGTGTTCTTCCAAAGAACCACAAGCCGTCTCCTCAGGAAATGAAGTTGAAGCATCTTTAACACATTCTACCTCCAGCAGTACCAGTTTCAGCCATTCCCATGAAATGTCTTTGACAATTTCCTCAACATATACTTTATTTTTCCTTTTTTCATATTTCATTTCTTTCTTTTTTCTCAACTTGATTCTATTTTTTCTTCTATAAAATGTTTTCTCATTTCTTTTCCTTTTCCATTTCAGAAACTTCCAAGGTTTTTCCCTCAATCTCTTTTGATTTTTTATCCCCTCTTTTGATATCTTTTTAAATTTCAAAAGAACCACATATATTCTCTTTCCTCTCTAGTACAAGCCTAGAAGCATACCAATTACATAGAGCCAACCACAAAATACAATGTAAGCATCCCAGCGCTAATTATAGAACTTGAGAAATAAGAATGACCCTGCGATCATAGCGAGACAAAGTCAAACACTGTCTCTGAGGATGAACAGTATTCATACCAAAAGAAATCGTGTACAATTTCAAATATAATATAATCAAAGAATCCAACGCAAATACACCCATGGAGTTTAGCTTGAGACCCAATGCTGTAGGCAATAAAGATTTCCAATGACCAGATATGCTTATTGAGAATGAGTCTGTCTCTGGTGATAAACAAGTTGAACAAGTTTCAAAATTCAAGGATTACTAAAATTCATAAAAAGGTCAGTAGATAGGCATAAAAGGCAAAGTTTCATAAATTTTTTATCTCTGACATCCCCAAATTTTAAAAAAGTTCAGAGACCCCTACTAACTACCCTACATAGCAGAAGCAACTGATAGATATAGGAGAAATAGAGAATAAGCAGATTATATCAGGACATCTACATGGTAATATTCTAGATGAAACTCAACCCCCAACTCAACAGGTTGATTTGTAGTGTAGTTCAATTACAAGATTCATATGGGAAAAATGTGAAAAAGTTCAAAGGTTTGTCAATGTCCTCGAATGAAAAAAATCAACCTTCACAGCCGGGTTTTTTATATATACTATTTTGGGAGAGGGGCTGAGAACCATATTTTAAATGGAAAAGTGTCAATGAAGTGAATAGGAAGATTAATACATTGCCAACAAAAACAGATCGAGCGTCTGTCTCCTCCTTGTTGTCCTGCGAAGCAGCTGCACTAGCAGGATCTACAGAAGAGAATAATCAAGTTGAAAAATGAATAAAACATGAAAGTAAAAAAAATAATCACGCAGGAATGATCTTTACTTCAAATATCAGTCAGTAACTCAGCAATAGTAATCCACTATAACATAAGACATGTATTATCATATTCTCCCAAAAGTTTAATCATTGCGAGAGAATGTAGGTAAAAAGAATGGGAAAAACACTTGTCATGTTGCATGAGAAATGTTTTCTCTTGTAGTGACCCTTCGATTTGTGTGCAAAGCTTTCTATAAGTGTGAGGCCCACCACTAGCTGAACTTGAGTCACAACATGAGAAAACAATTCTCATGCAACCATAGTAGTCAATAGCAGCGCTATTGCGCCGTAAGCCGCGCTTGGCGGAGCTTCGCCGCAACTATCCACGCCGCGCCGCACCAGATCGCAATAGCGGCTGTTGCAGCCGCATTTGCGGCCAAATCTCGCCGCAACAGTGTATGAAGCAAAGCTTTGAGTGAGAGAAAGAGTGAGAGAGAGAGAGAGAGAGAGAGAGAAAGACAAAGCAAATGACAGAGAAAAGGAGAAAAAGTGAGAGAAATAATGAGAGAGAGAGAACATATGAAGGAGAAAAAGAGAAACTGTGTGAGAGAGAACGGATGAAAGAGAAAAAGAGAAAAAGTGAGAGAGAAAGATATTCTAAACTATCTTTATTCAAAGAAAAGAAAAGTACATTTGTCAGAAAGTGATTCACAATTCACGGTAACCAAGTAACCTAGTTATAGTAATAGTGGGTAAAACTTGTAAAGAACCAATTCAACCCAAAAGCTTAAGCTGGTTGGTGAGGGCTTTTTAATGGTTTTATATATCTCAACACGCCCCCTCACACGAGAGCCACTGGGCTTGAAGAGTGGACAATGCACAGGCCCACCTACCTGTGCGAAGAAAGAAATTTCACTGGAAAGAAAGTGGGGGGCGGTGAGGTTTGAACCCGGTACACCGAGGCTCTGATACCATGTAAAGAACCAATTCAACCCAAAAGCTTAAGCTGGTGGGTGAGGGCTTTTTAATGGTTTTATATATCTCAACAAAACTATTTCTATATCCCAAAAAAAAAAAAAGAATGCATCATTAAAAGGTAACCAAGGTAAAACACTAAAGTAACTAAGATAAATCTGGTAAATCAGTAAAGTATAGTTACAACTAAAGGTAGTACAACTAGAGCTAAAGTTTGGACACTTATTGCTAAGAGGTAACATGTCAACTCTACCTTTATTTTTATTTTATTTTTATTATTTATCTTTATATTTTTTTATTATTTGTATTTTTTTAATAATTTATTATGTGACACACACATATATATATATATATTTCTATATATATATATATATATATATACATATAATTTGTTTTTTTAATAAATATATTTTTTCCGCTATTTCCGCTATTTCTGCTCCTGTAAGAACAGAAGTTTGTTACCAAGAGCTAAACACAAAAAGAGGCAGAGGTAGGCCGAAGCTTACTTGGGGGAAAGTAGTAAAACAAGATTTACTGGAGTGGGATATAGATTGGCGGACAGTATGTCTTAGAAAGGAATGGAGAAAAGCTATAAGTATGGTGGAGGGTTAGACTCGCTGTTATTACTATGTTCCAGATGGTCCTTTTTTAGTCCTTTTCCCCTTCATTTCCCCCACTTCTTCTTGTCCCTTTCTTTTTTACTTTTATTTATTTATATATACATATATTTTTATTTCATTTTATTTTATTTTATTATTTTATTTGTGTATTTTTATTTATTTATTTATTTATGTATTTATTTTTTATTTTTTATTTTTTTTTACTTTTTTTCAACCGTTTTGTATCTTTCATGTGGGTTCATCTACCACCGACCCCAATTAATTTGGGATAAAGGTGTTGTTGATGTTGTTGATGTTGATGTTGATTTCCGCAACCGCAACCCGCAATAACGCTATAGCGGTTTTGAGGGTTGGCCGCATCAAGTCGCAATCCGGATTTGATAACTATGCATGCAACATAAGAAAATCAAAGCCCATAAAGAATATTTCAGAAATCACAGTAACTAACTCAATCAGAAACATCATGTTAGCCCCAAGTTTTCATAAAGTTTTTAACATGTTGACTTCGATGACAACAAAATTTGAAGCAAGATTGTTGTTCAAGCTCTCATGAGTTGAAGTTTTAGCAATAATCATTAAAAATAAGCACGATTTACATAGATCTAGGCTAAAAAATTTAACAACTCTCATAAGTGAATAATTCACACCCTACAAAAAGATAAAGGTTGCTAAACACTAGTAGCAACAAGAGGTTGCAAAGATGAAACCATGAAGGTAAGTAAATACAATAACGCAATGAATTGCACAACATCAGCATCTAGTAGTTGATACCTTGACATAAAATCTCAAACATCTAACTAAGACTACTAATTAGCGTGTTTTGACACAGGTCAAAATTCTAAATCGCCTCAAAGACCACGAAACAGAAAAAGATGATAAGATTGACACGAATTATCTAAAGACGCAGCAAATAATAAAATCAAATTTCAAAAAAAGTTAACAAGTTATTGCACAATTTCATACAGCATAACAAATAAAAAGCATAATAATTATCAGAAATCAGAATAGAACGAGAGAAAGAAAACCTACCTTGAACAGCGCCCATCTCTTTCTCGACCTTGGCTTGCATTTCACGAAGAGCAGCGGCTTCCTCTTCCATTTCCTTCAAGCGCTTCTTCATCTCGTCGAGCTCCTGCACACACAGTAAATAACCAACACAAGTTGTGTTGTAGAGTAGCGAATGGGAATTGAGAACTAAGTAACTAACTAACTAAGAAGAAATTAGAGAGACCTTGACGGCGTCGTCGTCGTCGGCAGCGGACATGTCAACGTCGGGGTGGTCATGGTGAGAGTCGATATCACCTTCCATCTCTCCAACGTCGGGGATCTCACCACCGTACACCTCATGCTCTTCCTCCTCCATTATCTTCTCTTCTCTTCTCTTCTCACTGTTTCCAGTCCACTACCTGCGCTGTGCAGAGGGAACCGACGTGCTCTTAAATTGGGCCCGACCCAATTCACGTGTGTAATGCATTGTGGATCATGCAATGTAAGTGAACAAAAACATACTAATAATTCGGTTCACGCTTATTCTTACGGGGTAGCCCAAGCTTGTCAACACAATAGTCCATTCATTATGTTTGTAACATTCAATTAGGGGTGTTAAGGGTACGAGAGGAATCGGGTTTTGGTTTTTAAAAGGAAAAATATTTCTGCAGTTAATGCAGATAAGTTATCTTTATTTATTCTGAAAATGACGTCGTTTTGGTATTAAAATCTTAAAAAATTATAAATATAAAGACTGTTATATTTCTAAAATAAGTTACAATTACAAAAATATCATGATTTCTGCCCCAAAACGACGTCGTATTGGGCTTACTACAGATAACTTATCTGCAGTAACTGCAGAAAAAGCGAACCCTTTAAAAAATTAAGTTTATGTCTAAATGTGTCAGTCTGGTTTAATTTGTTATCTGTTTTGAATATAATTATCAGTCTGGTTTATTTACAAAAAAAATAAAAACTTGATTTAGCCTATTTAAAAAAAAAAAGACAACAAACGAAATATATAATCCACAATACTGATAATTTCTCAAAGATATATAATTCAATGTATATCCAAAAAATATAATATAGAACAAAAGTATGCAAAAAGTCTATTTAATCAATAAAATGAGGTGAAATGGGTTGAGGAGAGAGAGCTATTATAAATAGTATAAAAAATATAAAATAAAATAAAAGTTAGTATTTTAGGCCAACCTGAGATGTTCTAAGGCCGAGTTTTTAGATTGGAGCCTGAAGCCCTTTAATTAAGCAAGCTTTTATACAAGTTCAAGTCTGATTTAACAACCAATTTTAAATATGTAAGTCCAGATCTTCACGAGCCGAGTTAAAGGCCCTTGAAATGCCTCTGGTTTGTTTAGCCGCCCTACATTCAATTATCTATATATAATATAAGAGGAGGTTATATTTGAGATTAATGTCTTTTATATTATTAGAGATAATTTTATTTTGAATATATATATATATATATATATATATATATATATATGTAGGGTCCATATTTTTTTTTTCTCTTTACATGGAATAAATCTTTGGTGCTACTGTTGCACTAAGATTCAGGGCATCCCACCAATGAGAGCATTACACTTCATATGAGAGAAAAAATTTGGCAGAGAAAATAAAACTTTAGCTGATATGTAATATTTCTATTAGTGGGATGTACTAAATCTTTGGTGCAACAGTAACACCAAATATTTATTCATTCACATGACCGCATATGGGCCCTACACATTTTTATATATATGTAGGAAGATAATTTTATTTCCTATAATATGATAAACATTAATCTCATTATATTTACATCTTTTTCCTTACAATCATTTTTATAATTGTTGGATCAGAATCAAATTAACGATTATTATTTAATATCAATTTGTAATCATTGATTTAATCTTGATCCAATAATCATAAAAGTAATTATAAGAGAAGAAATAGTGTAAATATAACCTTCTTTATTTAAAGGGAAAACTTAAAAAAAAACCCTATCACTTTATTCATAATCATTTACCCGCTCTCCAAAATTTTGAATCATTTATTCCTGATTAAGTTTTTTTTATCATTTACCCCCCTAAGTGAGTGGTGATAAAAAAACTTTAAGTTAATGGGATAAGTGATTCAAAAAATCTGTGAGAGGGATAAGTGATAATTAAAAAAAGATTTTTGAAGTTTTTCCTTATTTAAAATATTAAAGCAATAAATGTAATACTATATTTCCACGGACTTAAGAAAGATTTTTAACCCTGTAACTTCAACTTATTCATTCTTCACCAACAATTCATTAGATTATAAATCAATTATTAAATATATAAAACTTAAGTATATAAGAAGAGTTTAGCCTTTTAAAAAAATCTTATAAAGAAATGAGCAAGAACTTAAAAAATTATTTTGAAGTTGACAAATATGAGGAATTGCCGTCAACACAACCAATTAGATAACTCCACCCAAAGCCTAGACATACGCACGCGACACTTTTGCGATCACTGTAATAAAAGCTGTTCCCAACCATACTTCTTTTTCTTTCAATTTTTTCAATCAAGAAAAGATCCACCGATTCCAGTCCAAAACACAATGAAGGTTATCGAGACAAGAAACCAATGATATCCCGCCACCTGTTACAGAAAGCAATAGTCACTTTTACTACACTTAACAAAAGCTTTAAATCAAATCCATTAAATTCATTACAAGCCGAGATTTGAATTGAAAGTGAGAAAGAGACACACAAAGTTGGGAGAGGGAAAAAGAAAAAAATCAGTGTTATTGGAAAAAAATGGCTAGCGGAGGAGGATACGGAGATGCGAATCAGAAGATAGACTACGTGTTCAAGGTGGTGTTAATTGGTGACTCCGCGGTTGGGAAGTCGCAGATACTGGCTCGGTTTGCAAGGAACGAGTTCAGCTTGGACTCCAAAGCCACCATCGGCGTCGAGTTTCAGACTCGAACTTTGGTCATCGAGCACAAGAGCGTCAAGGCTCAGATCTGGGACACTGCTGGCCAAGAAAGGTTCTCTTCTTCTTTTGCTTCTTTTCAACTACACACACATACTGTCCTCCTTTATTTCTTAGCTATTTCGTTTTTACTACAGGTTTTCGTTTTTGTTTCTCAAAACCTAGATTTCCTTATTTATTTGTTTTTTGTAGATATTTGTAGATCTTGTTATTGTTCAGTTTTCGCTATGTAATCATATTTGTATGCGTTGCTGTTACTTATAATATGTCCTTGTTTTAGCCTTCGTTTTGTTTATCTTGATCGCGGTTGTTGACTGCTTAACTTCCTTCGTCTACGAAGTTTGATCGTGGCGAAGGATTTGTGTAGTTTAACTTTTTGAGTTAGATGTTAGATTAAGTTGCTGAGAAGTCCTGCAGAAGAAACCTCGGTTCAATGTTATATGTCAACTTCATAAATTTGCATGTGAAAGGAAAAAAGAGGCTGATTGAACGATCTGGTACAAAAAAATGTATTAATTTAAAAACCTAAGGCAAGCTTTGGAGCAGTGAGTAATAAGGTTGCTCGTTTGTAAAAATTATTAGCGGTAGACTCATTGCCTCATTGAAATTAGCCTTTTTTTTTTAATATTATTTTTGAAAACATATTTATTTTGTATGGAGTTGGAATGATACATGACACAACTAGGGAGAGGGGCTAAATCGGTTAAGACAAATGTCACTTAGCAGTGCCTAAGGAGTTGTGTGAGTCCACGTAGCACCTTATAAAGTGCTAGGTGGCAGCACCATCCCATCCCATCCCATTCTTGAATAAATCTTTGGTATTACTGCTATACAAAGATTCAGTGCATCTCATCAATGAGAATATTACACATTAGAGGAGAGAGAAAAAATTTGACAGAAAATAAAATAAAATTAACTGACATGTAATATTTTCATTGGTGGGATGCACTGAATCTTTGGTACAGCAGTAGTACCAAAGATTTATTCCCCATTCTTACCTCTCTTCCCGAACCCATACTAGAAATGCCTTGGTGTGGTGCACTTTAAATACTCTATTTTCCATCATTGATTTGGAAAGAATAACACAAAAAATAGTAAATGATTACTTCTCATCTTCCATGATGTGAAGTAAACTAATTTATTTTCTTCCTTTCAAGTTCCCAATCCCATATCAATAGATAATCAAGTTTTAAACTTTCTCAAACAAATGCGTATCAAAGATGAAAAAGATACCACAAACAATCAAAATAGATGCGGTAAAGAAAATGAAAAAAAGGAAAAATTTAACATATCTTCGAAGAGTCACACATACAATAACTTATTAACCTCATTATATTGTAAAGCACACGATATAAATGTTTAAAATTATTCAACTCTATAATGATTTTCAAATTTTCACCGCACGTATAGGTGCCAAAACGGGTTCAACCTGTTGGGTTAGCCTATCTAACCCGCCAATTTGTTTAAGCCCACCCCGCATAAGTGTGGTTTAGAATGGGTTAAACTTGCCACAAGGCGGGCTGACTCGTTGGTTTTTTTAATAAAACATTAGTCCTTGATTTTTTTACACCTTTTTTTGGTCTTCATTTGATACCCTTTACTTGGATGAAAAAAGAGGTGCATTAGTGCGTAATACGACATCCGTAGCGGGTAGCGGGTAGCGGCACTTAGCCTCAACAATCCACATGCAACGCAACAGTTTACTGTTGCAGTAGTAGCGGCTGAGATTTCCAGTTGCGTTTTGCAAGACTAGCGGCGCGATTTCAGCGCTATCGACGGAGGAGGAGAAAAGTTCTAATTCTAAGGGTATTATTGTCTAAAATTTAATTTTAAGGTAATGGATTTCTGTGAGGAGGCCATGAACGAAGTAGAAAAGAGAAGATTGAGTAATCCAAAAAAAGAGAGAGAAGAAGTCTCTCCCCTGTTGCCTTAAAATCTAACTCTTCTTCTATTTTTAATTTTTTTTAGATTACTCACTCTTCTTCTTTTTTCTACTTTGTTCATGGCCTCCTTAAAGAAATCCATTACCTTAACATTAGATTTTAGACGATAATACCCTTAGAATTAAAAAATTTCTCCTCCTCTATCAGTAGCGCTGAAATTGCGCCGCTACTCCTGCAAAACGCAAATGGAAATCTCAGCAGCTACTACGGCAACAGTAAATTGTTGCGGTTGAGTGACACTACGGATGTGGTATTGCGCCGCTTTTTTCATATATGTGCTAAACCACTCGTGGCGGTACTGATATGCAATGAAAGTTGGTAAAAGATTCATTGGAACTAAAAGCATTAATACCTAAGTGTAATCATGAATACATGTAAAAATCGAATAGTAAAAAATTAAAAAAATGACACCGAAAATATATTTAAAGAAATGAATAGATATAATTATTGGGAATAAGAATACGCAATATGAATAGAAGACTTAATAACAATATGCAATTTGAAACATTTATATTGTGTGTTTTACAATATATCGAGCGTAATAGGTTATGTATCCTGAGCTGCAATGTGATTCTTCGAAGATATGTTACAATTTCCTTTCTTTTCATTGACTCTCTTGTCCTTGTAGCTTTTTTTATCACAGTATCTTTTTTGTCATTGATGCGTATTTCTTTAAGAAAGTTTAAAACTTCATAATTTGTAGGTATGAAAACTTATAAGGAAGAGAAATGATTAGTTTGCTTCTTGTTATGCAAGATGAGGAGTAATCGTTTACTCTTTTTTGTCTTATTATTAGCAAAGAGATAATGGAAAACACAACATTTTGATGCATCTCACCAAAGCGTTTCTATTATGGGGTGTGGCGGTCCACCTAGGGTTAGGTGGATTAGCGCATTTCCTATGGTACTGCCATGTGGCATTTGTCTTTTTTTTCCATGAGAGGCGTTATCTTTTATTGCATCATATGTTATTCCGGTCCTAGACAAGGTAAATTTATTTGAAAATATTATGTTGGTAATTTTTTTGGTACCAAATCAGTCTATCAACCTAAACTTTTGGAGTTTAGTTTTTCCGTGTAAAACTTTGTTGTTCTATCATATAATTGCGTGTTGGCACATCCTTGAAAGAGTGACTGATGACAACTACAAAGGTCAATATTAAACCCTAATTGTCATTCCTGTTACCAACCTGGACCCCTTTCTGTCTCGCTGTCTTGCTGTCACCAGTTTTGCCTAGGTATGATTTTGAGTGTGTGTGCAGTGTTGACGCAGGACTAAAGCATGAAATGGAATAAGACAGGGATGCTACATATCAATCTAGTCTAGCATATGAATTAGAAATCTACTTAGCAAATTTCTGGAATTTGCTGGGGAATAACGAAAACTCTATATAATATTATTTTCGAGTAGAAATATGTGTTGTGTTGTCTTGCAATTTGCATGCCCTTATATAGGCATATTAGAACTTCACCGGCAGGCAAACAATCATTTAGAACTTTGCTAATCTATATAGTATGCTAATAGAGCTTAGGTTAAATACCTTAAATTATCTACAACGATGTAATAAAATCCTTAGAAATGATTCTGATACGGTTATGCCAAGTACTAGATTTGGAAGGTGTGTTAAAGGTGTTGCTTATAAGTTTATTATGTGTTAAACAATGGTCACATAGGTATATGTCAGTAAGTACATAGAACTCAAAGCTATTGACGAATCTAATTCCTTTATTGGTCAAGTTTTTGCTACAGTTCTGTCCGCAAATAGGCCTGTTATTGTAATACCGGCATCTATTCTCTGTTAAAAATCATGTTTTTAGTTTTTGGCATTTTTTATCTTATCCGCTCGGATACAAAGCAAACACCATTTTTCATTTTGCAATTGATGGTTATGGATGCATAATTGCATGTTAACTGGTTAGTAGTATGATCTGATTTCTTGCTTTACGAGGGTGAGAGAAATGAAATTTTCGTAAAGCAGTTAGGATGTCAATGAATCCCGTTCATTTCTCCATCATTAATTAGATATCATCATCGTCCAATTTCCATTGGATTTAGCTTTTAAAATAATTGTTTTTCCAGTATGGTGGTGTCCCATAATCCTGTGTGTTAAAAACTCATTCACCTTGAGCTTCAACAGACAGAAGTATCTATATGTGACTGACCATCCATGGAAGTGGCAACATTTTTTGGGGATGTATTTTTGATTTGAGTCTATGCTTCTTCAATCTTCACATTGTTAAGATTATATCTGATCATATCGATGGTACCGATGGTTAACTTTCAAGTTGGAGTTTGCCCTAATATCAAATGGTTTATTCTGCAGATATAGAGCAGTTACAAGTGCATACTACAGGGGTGCTGTTGGGGCAATGTTGGTTTATGACATTACCAAACGTCAGAGCTTTGATCACATACCTCGTTGGTTAGAAGAACTGCGTAGCCACGCTGATAAGAATATAGTCATCATTCTTATAGGAAACAAAAGTGATCTTGAGAACCAGCGTACAGTACCCACGGAGGATGCAAAAGAATTTGCCGAGAAAGAAGGCTTATTTTTCTTAGAGACCTCAGCACTGGAAGCAACTAACGTTGAAACAGCCTTCATGACTGTTTTGACAGAAATCTTCAACATTGTTAACAAGAAGAACCTAGTTGCTGATGAAAATCAGGGAAATGGCAACTCGGCATCTCTGTCTGGCAAGAAGATTATTGTTCCTGGTCCTGCACAAGAAATCCCTGCTAAGAGGAACATGTGTTGTCAGTAATCCTGACTTTCTTTATATTTTGTTTTAATTTATTAGATCTCATGGTTCTTCTATGTTCTTATCTCCATTTTTAATGGTTTGGCTCATTTCCTTTGTATATTTACGTTGTTCAAAATTTATTTTTCCTGAGTTGATTAGTAATTACAAATTGCTTGGTACAATGCCCGTGAATTTCGTGGGTAACTTGGTTGGACTTGGAACAGTGTTGATTATGAAATGTTGTCATGCCCATAGATATAAATTAATTACCGCGGTGGTCCTGTTTTAAGCCTGAACTTGCGGATGTAGTTCTTTAAAGTTCTAAACTCGCGAGTCAATTAACAGTGTTGCGAAACTTGTTAAGTTCCGTAGAAGGCCTAAATGGCTGTAATATTGTGTTTACCAGTAATTCATTATTCTTGCGACATAAATATTCCCTACAGACAAATTACCTTTAGCAAGGCCGGTAGTATTGAGAAAAAAATTGGGACCTCTATGCTCCATATTTAACATCTTGGAGCTGCGTTCAGCTAATGTTGAGTCCGCAAATATCACTGACATACTTTATGATAATTTAAAATGCCATGCTGATTTCAGTAAAATGGGATGCATCTCTCGTGTTTAAGCAATTTGGTGAACTTTCCAAAGTTATGGAATATTGATATATTAATAGAACTATGAATCAAAGTCCGTTAAATTAGTTATAAAGAACAGGACAAACCGAAAAAATAATCATAACTAACTTTCAAGCCTTAATTTTTGTAAATGCTCATATAAGAAGCACGGGAATTGGGAGCCATGAATAAAAAGTAAAACCCTAGATTGGCTACTCAGTAGTAAAGATAAATAACTAATCGCTTTTAACACAAAGTATCTTCCACATCTTCAATTTTACCGTTCGACTCCTGGCATTATTAGGTTTGCTCCCTTTTTACCAAACTCTGATGGATTCATATACGAGATCTATTTACTAATAAGTCCAACAAAGGCAATTCAAGATATTAATCAGATATAACTAAGGAAGAATATTCATTAAGGATGTCAATCCTAATACGATAACATGACATATGTCAATCCATTACCTACAGGTAAACTCTATAATTAAAAGGTAAAACTTACAGATACGCTATGCTCTCTCTCTTACTGTTATGCTGTCACTGTATATACACACACCCTTTTGACAAAGTCGTTTATTGTTCTTATGTGCACAGTGATCTGCTTGATTCTCAAGGGCATTTAATCCATAGATACCTTAGAGAGGGCACCTAGATCCAAAAGTAATATATTGTCCCATTAAGCTAGACATCTCTATCTCCAGAACAAAACACTTAGCTTCAACAAAATCTGCAAATTTTACAGATCTATGCTGCAGAAGATGTTTGAAGTCTATAGTAGGGGGCCGTTTGGTTCGGGTTTTCTTATGATAACCTCAGGCAATACAAATTGGAATTTTATGAAGCCAACGTTTGGTCCAACGTTTTTAAAAACTTCCCCAGCAAAGTGAGTTGGCAAGCTTTCACAATTCTTTGCAAAAAGTAACGAGAAACACAGAGCAACATTTTCACTTTCAATGTAGTATTGTATGATAACCAGGCAAATGAGATATATAGAACTCCATATCTGACTGAACTACCCTTTTGATAAAACATAGCAAGAATGTTGCATACAGTGACTTTATAATTATTAAGGGGTTAGTTTTGTAATTTTATACCATTTACCCATCAATATTTTATCCTCAACCAAACATAGACTTCAATAACTTTAATTAATTTGCTTGGTAATATTTTGCCCAACCAAACAATTTTTTTTTAACTTTTCTACCTAACTCATTTTCCCCTGGTAATCCCTAGTGATTCTATTTCCCTAGTAAAAAAATATTTCAGCTGAACCAAACACCCATGGGTCTGGAGCATGTTAAATTTTTTCGAAGTCAAGAACCAATAAATATTTTTTTGTTATATTATAATATGTAATCTATACCAATTATCACGTCAAAATGAAATCACACAGCACAGTAGTTGACGATGATTCAAATCTGATAAAAATCAATATGTATTTCAAAATGAGTAGGGTGTTTGTTTCAAAGTATCTCAAAATTTGCCTAGGAAAGTAGATGTTGTATTCTCGTTTCCTGCGTTTAGTTGAATGGAATCACAATTTTTACCTATGAAAATGAGTTGCCTATCTAAATTACAAATGCACTAAAAAAGGAACTTTTGCATTGTTAAAGAATGCTATTTGCAACATGGTATTTCTTGGAAAGATGGGGAAATTAAAAAAGTGGATGAAAATAAAGACAAAAATACCCAATTTCTTAACCGCATGTAACATTCAAAATTTTATAAAAAGGTTACTTTTGTAATTTCTATTTATTTCCCCATCAAACTTTTATTTTCAACCAAAAATACACTCAGCATATTTAACTCAATTTCTCCACTAATATTTTACAGTACCAAACAACTTTTTTAAAATTTTCCTACCAAACTCATTTTCCAACCATTTCCCTAGTATTCAAAAAATTTCTCCTCAACCAAACCCCCCAAAAGCGATCCGGAAAGCACATGGTGCATAGCCACCTTCAAGTGACGTTTTCTTTCCTATATGACTCATGATGAGGGAAAATATATTTCATTTAGTTATTCACAATTCACAAGGACAAGAAGTCAAGGGGAAGTTTTTTTGTGGGACGAGACCATGGTGGTCCCTCCCAAAAAAAAAAAGGACGGAGGAGGAAAAAATCAAAAAGAAAAGGTTAAAAATGAAAGAAAAATTTTCATTTATAGAAAAGGGACCACTGAATAAATGGTGGGCATAGAGCATGTTAAATTTTTTCGAAGTCAAGAACCAATAAATATTTTTTTGTTATATTATAATATGTAATCTATACCAATTATCACGTCAAAATGAAATCACACAGCACAATAGTTGACGATGATTCAAATCTGATAAAGATCAATATGTATTTCAAAATGAGTCAAGGAAACCAGAAATAGAAATAATTAACTCCGCACTTAATATAAAAACGTTCAGAAGTTTAGACTACTTTTTGCTAATAAAACATGGTTTGACTAAATTTATCTCCGTAAATGGATGGCTAATAAAATAAAGAGTTTTATAAGAGTTATATTGTAGGAAAAGTGATTGTGTTATGTTATAGAGATTCATTTTGTGTGCCGAAGTTTTTTTTTTTTTGTTGTGGGCCACACAAAATATTGTGTGTGTAGGAAATTTTTTGTAATTATGTTAAATGATAGATGATAAACCCTAAAACAAATAAACAAAATAGCACAAGGACAGGTGAAAATGACAAAAGTACTTCAGTGAAGCATTAATTACTTACTATCATGTATTATGACTTGCGCATTTTGACTTGATGAAAAAATATATATACTGAATCAATAGTTGAAATGAAAAAAAAAAATATATACTAAAGACAAAAAAATAGAAGAAAAAATTAAGATAAAAAATAAATAGAACAAAAAAAAATTATAATTATGAGTTTTCAATATATCTAGTATTTTCTTTTTCTTTTTCTTTTTTGTCCTTGGACTATTTTTGTTCACTTTTATTTAGATATATTTGATCTTTTTCTATTTTTTTTATCTATTTTATTTTGATTTTTTTTAGTCTTGTGTTATCCCATCTATTAAAAAATTTCGTAAAAAAATTCTAAAAAGAGAGAGAAAAATAGAGATATAAAAAAGGCCAAATATATCTAAATAAAAAGGGTAGAATAGGTATACTAAGTTAATTTTCTATAGTGTTAAGAAGGAGTGTGGATGGGTTGGGTAACTCCAAAAAAAAAAAAAAAGGAGTGTGGATGAAAAAAACATAAAGAATTAAGTGATTAAGGGGATGTATTGATTGAGATTTTAAAGTATTTTAATAAATTATTTTTTGACAAAAAAATGCATTGATATTCAATTAGGATTTTAAAGGATTGAAAAAAAGTCATTAGATTAGGATTTTAAAAGATTATTTTAGAGTCCGTCCATCAATCAGAATTTCAAAAAAAATGAATATGATATTCAATATTGTGGTATTAAAAAAAAACAGTCAGGATATACTTAAGACAAAAAAAGTTTACCGCTTTTTGTAACACCCCGTTCTAGAACCGGTTTGTTAACATTGTTGTATGATATTAAACGCAGTTACAACCAAATTGGTTCAATTAGAAATCCGGATAAATTTTCTTTTTGAACAAAGCCGAATTTAAAATAACCAATTGCGTGACCATAACCATATGACATTGCAGAATAAATGAAACTAAGCTTAACATCATATTCTTATTTTATTTGCCTACACGTTGTTAAACGTCTTCATCTCTTTTATTATTATATGAATTCTATACTTCCTCTATAATTCTCATCTTTCACTATATTATAGATCTCTTTGTTAGCTTCGCGTGGGCTCAAACTGCGTTCAAATCGGAGCTCCGTAGCTCAAATTATGTAAGTTTTACTAAACTACATTTTTGCTAATTTCGGGTAGCGCGTTTTGGCGCTCAACTAGGCGTTAAAACGTTCAGAGGCAGAGAATTTAGCCTTCTCCAGGTCTTCAATGCGTTTTAGCGCCCTTTTGCGCGTTTTAGCGCCCATATGGGCGTTAAAACGCCTAAGGGCAGAGATTTTTCCTCCATTTCACGAACACAGCGCGTTTTAGCACCCTCATCAGCGCTAAAACGCTCTCCAATTATGCAACACATGCCCTCCCCTGTTTTCATTTAATTTCTTGAAGAAATTCCTCTCTCTTTCACCATTCTCTTAACATCTAATAGACTAGGAATGGCCAACAACATCCAACACATATGGTGGCTCTTACATCCCATCATTTATCTTTAATCCCTTAAATAATCCATGCACCAATCTATAAGTACAACAACATAATATCCTATTACATCAATGTTCTTCAAAATAAATACATGTCAAAGAACTTAGCTATCCAAAAACATGATCAAAGCGATTAGCCATATACAACAAGGCAATTACTATAATAATGATCATGGACTAAGTCCTCCATACTACATCACATGACCTCAAAATAAATACATATAATAATTCTGAATGGCATGCAACTCAAAATATCCAGCTTTCAGGTATAATCTACTCAAGTTTCTTGCCTCGATCAACTTCACCTCTACCAGTATCTGAAATGATGCACCACAACACGGGGTGAGATATACGAATATATCTCAGTAAACCAGGCGTCCTTGGAGATCACTCCACCCTAAGGTTCACTTTCGGGGAACACACTATAATACCAACTTAACACATTCTTATCCATAAACATCACATTGACTTCAGAGAGATCCTCAAGGGTTGTTTGTCTTAGGTGCTCACCACAAGGAGATCCACATAGGGTTGTTTCCAAGGGAAGTCCACAATCTCACACTAGGGGCTTCCAAGAGAGATCCTCAAGGGCTGTTTCTCTTAGGCACATCCAAGAAAGATCCACAACAGGGCTATCTCTCTTAGACTCTCACCACAAGGAGGTCCACATAGGGCTGTTTTCAAGGATAAGACAAACCACCTGAAGATCCTCGTAGGGCTGTTTCCAGGGGAAGTCCTCACATCCGTCATACTAGTTACATTCGTTGGATTGATCCAAGGACTATTCAATCCCTTTTCTCATTCATCAGCCCCTACCTTATCTATCAACTATCAACAAAACCTCAATCATAACCCTCAACCATTACCTCATTCCTTATTTTTACATCTATTAATCATTCCTCAATACTCTTAAACAATCAAACATCAATCAATAATCATTAATCAATCATAACATTTATCAATGCATGAATCAATGCATGAGCATACAATCACTATCATCATTGCATATCACACCTCATAAACCATTCCTCCTCAGCGGAGTATGGTGGAACATTCAAGGGGATCAACCCCAAGGTCCAAAGGTTTTTCTTGCTTTTGAATTTTCCTCAAAGCTTTCCTTTCCTCAATTGAACACAACCACAAGGATTGGTCACTCCACTTGGTCCACTTGCTTCAATCCTAGTCATACAAGGGACACCATCAAACATATAACCAAGGCTAATAATGTAAGAAAATCCTTAATTTCAAGCATAGATTTCTCCAATTATCAAAGTATACTAAAATGACAATCTAAACTCATTTCTACTGTTTATTTATTATTCCTAACAATATTTCCAAATGAATTTAGCCTCAATCTTACTTAAACTCATAAAACCCACAAAACACTATTTATTATCTTCAACCTCTAGAAAACTCCATGAACACTAGGTTGGAGAAGTGGAAACTTACCACAATAGGTCACACAAATAAGCAATAGAGGTCTCTTAAGCTTCCATGGGTGAAAATGCCATCAAACTCCTCAAATCATCAAAGGGGTCGAAATCATTGGAGGAAGAGATCTCTTTCCACAAGGCTTCCCACCCAAAACCAAGCTAGGATTTGCAACGAGTGAAGGATTCTCTACGTTTTTGGTTTTGGAACGGATGCATTTGGTTGAGAAAATGGGGAAGGTGGGGTTTGCTCCTCAAATGATTTCACCCATTCTCCCTCTCTCTGTTTCTCGCGTGGAAGAAGAAGAAATGAGGGAAAGTGGGGCTGATTCTTCAACTTACATATGTTAAGTTATGTTAACTAGGTATAAGCTTATCTATCTATTCACCTCTATTCACTACCAAACTTTACCCAAAGGTCTGAAATATTTTTCTAGGAATATTTTTAACTTTTTTTTTTTGGTGTGCTGAGGAGAAACCCAGCAAAGAAACTACAAAACAGTCACTGTTCGAGCTATACAAACAGAAATAAATCAGCAATAAAAATAGATTGAATCTGCAAAAGGGGGAAACAGAAACTAGTCATATTAGGAGCAGTAGGATTGTCCAGAGGATAATTAGCCAGCCAGTCAGCAACATAATTTCCTTCTCTGTAAGTATGGACAAGCTGAATTCGCCAATCTTTTTGAAACGAAGCCCGTATTCGAGCCACCAAGTGGGACTCACGGGCTGCAACACCCTTTCTAGAAAGAATGATGATTGCAGATGTTAAATCAGATTCAACAATTAAATTTTTCCAGCCTTTCTCCCAAGCCATCTCCAAACCTTTAAGCATTCCCCACAGTTTGGCATTTAGAACATTGCAATTTCCAATCCTGTATGAGAAACCTTTAAGCCAGTGACCCTCATGATTTCTAGCCATTCCACCACAAGTAGCTAAACCTTGAGATCTTCTAGCAGCTTCATCAGTATTTAATTTAATCCAATGCTCTTCTGGTGGTTTCCAGCTAATGAAAATTTTTAACTTTACTTTCATATTTTGTGTACTTTTGCCTATCCATATTTTTATCCTTTAATTCTCACTGACTGCATTTTATACTTTAAAAGTGTCCTTAACTCACTAATTTTAACCTCTTACTTAATCCTACCCACTTATACATGCTTAATTATTTAATTGCAGGTAATTAATTAAATTATTAAGTTAGGGGTATTATACCTTTACAACCAATTTAATTGTCGTTGATTTTCGTCAATCTAACGGTTATAATTTATTGAATTTATTGGAAACTAATTAATAAATACGACCAAATAATTTTCAATAAATTATAACCGTTAGATTGACAAAAATCAACAGTAATTAAATTGATTGTAAAAATAGTAAATTTTTTTGGTAGTAAATATATTCTTTTCCATTAAAAAATTTGACGAATTTAATAAATTTTATATTAGTATGAATTGTATGAGCTTAAAATGTGTTTGTCACGATGTATCAATAACCCTTAGCATTTATTGAAGTTTCTCTCTATTGCAATTTTTCTTCTTGATTCCTTTGATGGTCGACTCGCTCAAAATCGAGTTCACAGCTTCGACAAAGCTCAAAAATCGATTTTCATCATCATCACAAAACTGAATACGAGGACAGTCATGGTCATCGCTATCCTTGCCCTAGAGAAAATCATAAAGAATACTTTGCTGGCGAAAGAGGGGATAGTTCATTTAACTTGAACTAAAACAAAACAAACCCAATCAAATTTCAGGTAGCTACCCTCCAATGGCTGATCTCCATAACTTGACTTGTCAAACCTGTGGTTCCGATGAGGGTCTTGACGGTTCCGATGGCTTCTTCTACTGCCTTCGCTGCGGTTCTCAGTTCGAGGATGTTGTTGACACAGCGGTTGACGATGATGATCTCTTCAACAAGGGCGGAGAGACCGGTGGCGGCGCTGTCTACAAGGCCAGTCACCAGCGCCGCCGCCAGCACCAGCGACCTGATGCAATCAAAGCTGAACCCATCTCTCAGTATGACTCCTTCTACGATTCCCAGTCAAATTTCATTAGGAATCTGAGGTTAGAAGATGAAACTCCTCAATGGAGCGATCATGGTCAAGTTAAAAGAGAGGAATTTGACAACCCCCCAACAGTTCCTGCAGATTTTGGAGGCTCGGAAGTTCCCAGCAGTGAAGATTACCACAAGGAGATAAGGATGCGGTATGTGATGGGGTTGCAGATTATGATTGAGCTTCAATGCGAAGCATTGGTGAAGGAGTTTAAGGTTACCCCTTTAATATGTGGCTTGGTTGGGCCTATTTGGCTGAGGTTTGTCTCCATGACTGGTGTTTTTGATGATGATTGGCCTAATAAAGCAATCTTTGAATCTGAGATGCAGAACGAAGGTAACAATATAAAGTTTCCTTGCCTATCTTTGAACCAGACCATGCAACAAAAAGTGGTACATGTATTGTAATATAAAAGTATAGGAGATGTGATCCTTATTACCTATTTTTTTTACTACTTGTTAGTACCGAATCTTAACCGTTGATTTCCGTCAATATAAGGGTTATAATTTATTGCAAATTAATAATTAATTAATAAGTATGATCCTATAAATTACAACCGTTAGATTGACGGAAATCAACGGTTAAGATTTAGTAGTAACAAGTAGTAAAAAAAAAAAGGTAGTAATTATAACCTCTCCCGTACTTTTATATTACAATACATGTACCACTTTTTGTTGCATGGTCTGGTTCTGTGTTTACCAATCTATTCCTCAATATAGGAGTTAATGCATATTCTAGGTTCATAATTGAGCATAATATGCCAATTTTTAGTTTATTTTCTGGTAACATATGTGGGGCATTACTATGTGTTTTTCATGAAAAGTTGACTAAATGCTTTATGTTTCTATCAAAATTTCAGAAAACCTGATATGTAACTCAAAAATTTACTTGACTAGCATCTTGCATCTGATTAGTCAGAACAACTCAGTTTGGTATTCGTTAAGCTTGGATTTGACATCTTTATTAGTGAATTTATTATAGAACAATAAGATAGAGGAAAGCAGAAAGCTTGACAAATTTGTACTAACTTTTCATGTTTATCAAGTGTCTAAAATAGTTTTTTACAGCACTCAGAAGAAACTTACCTTATTTTCATCATGCATATCTTGTAATTCATTTGAGTTTATTTCTTCCTTGGTCTCAGAAGAAAGAAAATATTATGAAGTACGAGCTAAATACGGAGCAGAACCCCGCAATGACTTTGGTCAGCGAGCTGCAATGATATGGTTCAGGTCTTTAAAGAAAATGATCCCCCTAGCTTACACTGTTGCAGTTTCGTTTCTGGCATGTCATCTTGCCAGGGAAGCTGTCTTGCCATCTGACATGATGAAGTGGACACGTGAAGGGAAGCTTCCCTATTTTTCTGCTTTTGTTGAAATTGAAAGGCGCATGGGACATCCATCAAGTGCGTGTCCTATCAGTTCAAGTGTTATGTTCAGGCCTCAGCGAGCTGTTCCGGTTCAGAAGCTAGAGTCATTTGCTGCATACATTGCTCAGTTCATAGGCTTGGAGTTACCTCCTGTGAACTTTAATGCAATAGCTTACCGTTATCTTCAAAAATTATCTCTTCCTGTTGGAAAGATTATTTCTTATGCATGCCGCATATATGAATGGTCAATGCCCCCAGAATTGTGGTTATCCTTATCCAAAAATTATTTTAGGCTTCCTACTCATGTTTGTGTTATGTCAATTCTGGTTGTGGCAATAAGGATTTTGTATAACATAAATGGTTTTGGGGAATGGGAGAAAAGTTTGTCTCTTAATGGTGGTACCAAAGACAATGGTGATATTGGTACCGCTTTTGCCTCCCATGATGGACATGATTTTGATAAAGAGTCAGCTGAAGATCCAGCAGGACCTCAAAAACATGAATTGGATTCTGCAGGGCTTCTCCAACACCTTCAATCAAGATATAATGAGATTGCAGATACTTATGGTAAAGTTTTTGTATGCTTATATTATTATCTTATTGATTCTATGTTGCCTGAATTTATATTCTCTTTTCCTCCTATTTTTGACATAATTAATTACCATCTAACATCCAGTATTTATGGACAGAGTATTCGAAGGACTTAACTACATATCTCAAATACTGTAGGGATGTTGTCTTTGCTGGATCAGAACCATCTTATGGGAACCATGAGGAAGAAAATATGATACAATACCTGTGGAATTTTTATCAGAATGAAGAGGTAATTAAAGACATTTATTCTGTTGGCATTCACATTTCTTTGGAATTACTTACAACTTTGTTTTCTTTCTTGGGATGTCTCAAGGATGAAGTCCCTATGCTTGTTATATTTTGTCTACGGGACATGGCCTGGCTGGCTCTGGATTTTTAATTTCTTTTCCAGCGATGCCTTGAAAATAAATTGGCTACATCACTATTTGCTAAAGGACATTAAACTTCAAGAAAAATACCATGAAGAATTAATTATTGTGCATGGGCTTTTATCCTGAAATCTAATTTCAACAAAATAGAATGACGAAAACGAAAGGAATTTCTCCTTTTTCCCGCAAAAAAATGAGGGGTCTCAAACTGCATATATTAAGTACCACAATCATTTACCTATCTATAAATATTTAGAACAACTTTTCTTTTGATGAAATTTATTAGGATAACTTTCTAGAAATCGACATGTTACTTTTCCTCTGTATTATGTGATTAATAACATTTACATGTTATCAAAATTACAATATATCTGCTAATGATTCCAGTATCTAAAATAAGTCTCAAGTATCCTTCATGAGCCAGCACTATCTACGGGTTTGTTTTGTTCTCTAAAGATATGTAATTGGAGTGAATGGTTATACACTCTGTATTATAATAGTAACTAGTCAGTGTAGTAGTCATGGATACTCTGTAGTGATTGCAGACATTGTATAGCTGATGATAATAAAGACCTCTTTCATGAATATTTTCTTCCAACTTATATGGGAAGAAAATTAAAGAGGCGAACCGGTGCAGTGGCAAACTGTTCCTTCATGACTGAAAGGTCATGGGTTCGAATCCAGGAAAGAGCCTCTTTGCAATTATGCAAGGGTAAGGCTGCGTACAAGGATTTCCTCCACCCCACACTCGCTAGTCGGGTTTAACGGGGAGTGGAATAGTTTTTTTATATGGGAAGAAAATTCTTTTCCATCTTCTCGGATAAATATGTAGGGCAGATTTTATTAAACTAAATTAAATCTGCGTTGTAATGTCTAGTTTCTAGGAATTGCTTTTGTTGGCTGACTACGTTGTGAAGAATGCTTGTCAATCTGTTCTAATTTGATGATGATACTTTTTATTTCAGAATGTTAATCCATCAGATCTAGAGCAATCTAATACTTTTAACCAAAGGAGGTCGAGAGGTGAGGGATGTGTTAGCACGACATCTACGGAGGAAAAGATGAGAAAGGAATGTTTTAATGAACCCTCTTCTGATGATGGCACTTGCCTTGCTGATAATTCTGCTGCAAGTGTGGATAATGATGATTCCGCTGCGAGTCTGCCGGACGGTGAAGACTCAGATTCCGATGAGCACGGTTCAGGAAAAACTCTTGTCAAGGAAGCCATTAGACGGATGAAATTAGACATGGAGGAGAACAGATTTTGTTATATACCACCCAGAGTCAAGCTGAATAAACTTGATTACCTTCACTATGTCAGAAAGAGGGATGAAGGTGCCCTGACCTATGTTGCTCATGCTGATTACTACATTTTGCTTCGGGCTTGCGCCCGGGTTGCACAAGTTGACATTCGGATTTTGCATATTGGTGTGTTGAGCCTTGAGAGAAGACTTGCCTGGTTGGAGAATCGGATTGATAAATGCTTGCATTCGAAACCTACCAGTATTTCTTGTCAGTTTTGTAGTGATATGGACACTGGAAATGTCTCTGATCATATATCTGGACAAACAAATTTGAATATTTGAGAATCAATTCATCATTGTTATAGTGTAACCACTAAAAAATAGAATTGATAAATTACATCCTCCGTATCCTCTTAAGTAACTGTTGAAACCATGTAAGTAAAGCAATGAAATCAACGAAACCAAGTTTTACTTATGCTTACACAATCATTATGTTGAGTGACCTACAGCTGTGTATTTTTATATAATGAGACCATAGTTATTAGTATCTTATGATACATGATACGATTTGTACAATATGATATGATTCACAAGTTCAGCAATATATATTGGGATTTGTATCGAATAATACGATACTATATCTTATGATACGATACATGTATCATGTGATATAAAAATTAAATCAAATTTTGTAACTTTTAATATATATAAAAAAAGAAATAGAGATTTGATTTGCAATTTAAATTAAAAAAAAAAACCTAAAAGAATTCTTTTTGGAAGAGAATGATGGATTAATTATGCCCCTGATAGTAATAGTAATAATATTAGTCTTAATAATTGATGAGTAGGAGAATAACTGATTTGCACTTTAATTATATTTTGCTTATTGAATCATTTTTGAAATTTGAATTTATATTAAATATTTTTAAATTATTTTTTATTATATTTTTGTATCTTACGATTCGATGCGATACATATTGTGATTCAACAATCTTGAATGAGACTTTGCACGGAAAGGAAAATATATAGATTGCATAATTCATTTTTTGGTAGTATTGGAAATGAAATTAACGAAACTAGATTTAATTCACATGATCATCTTTGTGTGGCACTTGCCCATCAGGGTTTATAGTTTATATTAAATTATTGATTATAATTATGAATGAGGTAGAAGAAGAGTATGCAGAACAAATATTTCGGTTAGCACTGGGAGCCATGAATAAAAAGTAAAAACCTACTCAAAGTAGTAATGAGTGATAAATAACTATTCGCTTTTAACACAAAGTAGCTTCCACATCTTCAATTTTACTGTTCGACTCCTGTGCTTCATCTCCCACGTTAATAGACGGTTTGTTCTCTTGCATGAAGCATACCTTTTCTGTAACTGTGTCAAGACGCATTAAAAGCCTTTCAAGCAGTTCTTGGCATTCCATTGCAGTAACCATCACGGTCAAACTTGCCCTACCCTTCCAGCATCCAATGGCTATTGTTAACTCATCCCCTTGGGGAGCCTCTGTAGCAGCTTTGTTCCCTGCAAAAAAGGAGAAGATCACGTAAACAGTCAAGTCAATGGGCATTTACTCTCTGCATCATGTTGTTGGTCCATCCATACATACCTTCACCAAGAACTACCACACAACAGCCTGGCATTAGGTTTGCTGCCCTTTTACCAAACTCAGCATCAACAAAATCTGCAAATTTTACAGATCTATACTGCAGAAGATGCTTGAAGTCTATAGGAGATGCAGAGAGAATCTGTTTGGTGATGTGAGGGAGAATAAGGGGCAATCCTTCAGAAGTGATCCGGAAAGCACATGGTGCAGAGCCACCTCCAAGTGAGGTTTGTCTTTCCTATATGATGAGGGCAAGTATATTTCATTTAGTTATTCACAATTCACAAGGACAAGAACCAATAAATATTTTTTTATATGTTATATTACAATATATAATCTATACCAATTATCACGTCAAAATGAAATCACACAGCACAGTAGTTGACGATGATTCAAATCCGATAAAGATCAAAATGTATTTCAAAATGAGTCAAGGAAACCAGAAATAGAAATAATTAACTCCGTACACAGTCATGCGTACTTATTCAATATAAAAATGTTAAAAAGTTTATAGACTACTTTTGCTAATAAAACATGGTTTGACTAAATTTATCTCCGTAAATGGATGGCTAGATCTACCACCTTTGACTGTGAGTCTCTACCTGCATCAGTCCTTGAAAGGTTATCATTCTCTCTATTACATTGGATAATTTAAACTAAGGAGCCTGTGCAACAAATAAATCACTCACATATTATAAGATAACAAAAACAATTCTTAATCGAGAATAAATTGTACTTACAAAAATCTTCAGGCCAACGGAAGTTATTTTAAGTTGATGCCCAACTGAGAAGTTCAACTCAATAACATCCTTAACTGACTTGGAGACATAGTAAATTCTTTTCACGTGGCTTGTATCGTTGTTTCTTGTTACAAGGTGACCATTGAATGGAAACTGCTTATCAATACCATAAAAAGCCTTAATGCTGTTAACAATTAGTTCATCTTTGAAGAAGACAACAGGGTCAACACCTCTCCATTTCCCTTGAATTTGCAGTTTTCTTTTAACCGGAGTGATATTTGCTATGTTTTCTACATTCCGAAGCTCTTGGGCTTCCTTGGAATCCCCTTCTTCACACGTAACAGGACTGACTTTCAAATCTTCTGTATCAGGTTCATTGTCATTTATATTAGCCTCTGAAACTTCTTCAAAAACTTCTTCATGTGTACTTTCTGATGGATTAATCTGCAATACTTGTGCATCTTCATTTCCCTGGTTTTCTGGTTCTTCATGTTGATTACCAAATTCTTTTCTAGGTTTTACCTTAATTGCTGCAAAAGAGGAAACAATCACAAACCTATAATGGCAAGGCACGTGTAAGAATACACATAATCAGGGTAAAAAGTTAAAAACAACTATTTGAAGGAGGAGTTATTTATTCCCAATGTTCACCAGAACTCCTTGACTATCTTTATCAAGATTTGAGAGAGATAGAAAAACAACTGATAGCATATAAGAAATTACCTGGCAGAGGAGAAACTTTCTCCAATACAGCAATAAAGAAGGCTCCAGTGTTCTGATCATGCGGCACCAACCTCATGCATCTCTCTAGTGGGACATCAGAAACTTCCTCAGTAATCTCATGCATCACAGGATTCTTCACCACTTGAACACCATCTTCAGAATTTCCATTAATATCATCAATAATGCTGTTATTACAATTACTGTCAACAACATCCTGATAGCTTCTTCCACTCGGAAACATGCTGGGAAGAACTACACTCTTACGGAGCTTGGGAACGTCTTTGCAAGAGACCAACCACATGCCCTTGTCACATACCTGCATCTCAAATGTCACACCTTCAGACGTGTTTAAATGCATACAGCTGCATAATAAACTTAACCGCTTCTTGGCTTCTAAATTTGAAGACACGAGCCTAATTACATACATAATCCAACAACTTCTGCTGGCAATGCATGTTCAAGTTGGGTAAATATAAGAATTTTATATTCAGATAATTTGAAACTCAATGTTTTGCCATGAACATGAACATGGGAATAACTCGATGGACATCCAAATGATCGATTAGAAAGAATTAACAACCATGACACTATTAAAAGATAACCCATCAATTGCCAAGGAATAATACTGTTTACTGATGAAACATACAATTCAACCAAGCAATGACAAGAGTTGGAACTTGGAAGACATATAACTGTCAAGATGAACTAGGTTTTCTGCCCACAGCGACTGTATGGGAAGTTTACTATATTCAAACATTGATTATCACCAGAGGGGGAAAAACAGAGGAAACATAGACAGCCCCACTCATACAACTTTCCTTCAAAACCCTCCCAGTCAATACTTGTAAGAAAATTGAAATAGTTTAGTTCATAAGTAATGAGGGCATTATCTCCTAAACTCCAGAAATATCATAGGCATGCTCAACTTTTTCATGTGTGAGCCAATCACGATATCCGTTTCTTGACATTAAATGTATTATCTTCAAAACTATACAACTCAAGGCAATAAATGGTCACAGAAAACACGAACCTTCCATCTTTTAAGACCTGGACGGCGAATAAGCTGAGGAAGCTCGCTAGAGACGTCAACAAGTTCAATAGACCCTTCACACCTCCGCAAAACCTGCATTTGGTTAGAAAAGTAGGGGGGGAATGAATTATGCCCAACCCCTCACAGAATAAATACTAAAAGGGCCAGAAGCAGTGTTTATGTATTTTCTAATAGATATCAAGACCAAAACTTTGGACATAAAATTCTCTATGAAAAAAATAAAATCTCCCAGCATTTTTATAAATAACAAGAAAAAACTCATGGTGTTTAATAAGAAAAAAGCAACTCCTTATGTTATATACTAATTATAAAGCGGTAACATCTCACGCAGAGTTTGTCCTTCATAATGTTTACTACCACAACAGAAAGATTTATTTTAACTATTGTAAGCATGAAGAATGGACCTTAACTAGTAAATAACAGAAGTAGGAATGAGGCACGTTCCAGAAGAAGATAGACACAATGACCCTGAACCATCAAGAGCTAGCTCCAAAACTATATTATTCTGCCAGTTAGCTTGCATTAATTAAATTACACATTGCAATCAAATATTTTCTTCAAATCAAAGCCATGCTTCATAAGAACATGTTATCTACCAGATATCTATGATATCAACTAATTGGTCCCTCATATTCCTAAAAAAAAATAAAACCATGAGTTATTTACTTGATATTTGGGGAGTTAGGGAGAAGGGGGGAGGGGGGGACTGCATCATTGGAAGAAATAAACTCCCGTAAAAAAAGCATGAGTTATTTACTTGATCTTACGAAAAATAAGCATTCCATTTAGAAATTCCAGAGCTGGACAGACTAGATAGCATGGCTGTCACCAAATGTAATTACAGAGCATTCAAGGCTGATTACCTCTGCAATGACAGCTTCATTCTCAATAGGATTCATTGAGCAGGTTGAATAAACCATTCTTCCACCAACTTTAAGTAAAGATACACCTGTGAAAATCAAAATAGCAGTTGAGTTTGCCAAAATCGTCTTCCGAGCTAATTCTGATTATCCCTAGTTCATTTAAATTCAGCTAAATCAGTAAATAGCAGCATTTTGATCCCAGTGCCATCTTTAAAAATTTTAGAACCAACAACAAGGGCCAATCAGTTTGAACTAAGAAAATACCAAATAATTACTTGGTGTAAAGAATGCTTTTCATCTTCTATACAACTTTCCTACCCAATAAACTAAGAGTGTACTTTCATTTTACCAATAGAGATCATAATTGAGAAAATAAGTGTATTATTTTATTTTTTTCCCCATAGATGTACTTATTATCCGCATAATACAACTCCCACACCCAATAAACTAAAACTTAATTATGATTGACCCACTTTAGTTATCTCGCATCAAGTGCATCTTAAAAGGAAACATCAAAACAAGCCTAAAAAGGACAAGCCCTAAAAACAGGTAGAAAACAATCAAAATGTACCTCGCATAGCAATTAGAACTTGTAGGTTATGAAGCCCATTTCCTGTCCCTGTATTCCTGCATACAAGCAAAATGAGTCTTAAGCAACAAAAAGAATATGGTCGCTGATGGGAAAAGAAGAAAATAAAAGAATGTGGAGACAGAAGGAACAAAAGCTACCATTTCCTCCAGAGATCAGGTGCCTTACGAAGGGTTCCATCTCCACTGCATGGGACATCACACAGAACACGATCAAATAACAGTCGGGCAATGTGCTGATCTTGCTCCATTGTATCATAATTCCTATTTAAATGACATCCTGGGAAGTGCTGAGCTTCATGATTAGTGACGATTAGGTTGGCTGTGCACATTCGTTTCATTTGATGGATGAGAAGATTACACCTTTGGACATCTAGATCATTTGCTATAACCTAATTATTAAAAATAGACTAATCAATAAATTTTGCCCATGAAACTTGACGAGGAAAGATCATATTTAGTAAACTATATAATCTGGAAAATCAAATAATACATAGCCAACGAAATAGAGAATAACATTATCTAATTATAAAGACACAAACCATTCCATCAGGCAGTGATCCTGCTTTATTTGATCGGTGTAAAATCTCAAGCAATTGGAATGTTTTTGAACCAGGTGCAGCACACACTGAACAAAAGCAATGAAAAAGCAAAATAGTTAAAAAACTGAAATTCACATTCCAAATAAACAAAATAGCACAAGAGCAGGTAAAAATGACAAAAGTACTTCAGCGAAGCATTAATTACTTACTATCAAGTACAAAGTGATTTGAATGCACATCCAAGAACAGAGGAGGCACCTATATTGCAAACAAACATTTGTGCTCATAAGTTAAATTCTTGAAAGGTAAGTGCCTAAAGTAAACTCAGGCACTAAACCATTCAGCTCTCTAAATAAAATTCATTCGTTTTGTATGATCACGAAGATGGACAGACAGTATGTAAACTGGCCCACCATGCTGACAGCTTCCTGTCTTGTAATATTTCCAATTTCATTTTCTAGCTTTAAGAATTCATGAAACCTGAGAGATTAACATAATAAGAAGCAGGAATTGGACATATTAGGTATAAGAACTAACTTATATGCTCAATTAATTTCAATTAATTGTTTGAAAATAAATCATTCATTCTGATATAAATAAAGGCAAAAACATAATTAAATGTGACCAACCAGTCCTGCAAGAGTCATACACATGACAATCATAGTTAGGTAATAACCAAACATCAAGTCATAATACATCATGTAAACTGTCGCACTATTAGAACCTATGTTGCACCGACACCGACACCGAGACGGGACACGGGATATGACATGACACTCCGACACGATAATTCTAAAAAATGTTAGATTTCGACACATTAGGACACGTTTTGATATTAAATAATATTTTAAATTTATGTAGTGTATATTATATTTAATATTCAATAATTTAAAAAAATTAAAGTTAAACTTATAATATCCATCAATTTTGTAAAGAAACATAAGATATCACAAATATTTATATTAAACTCAATAAAATGGTAATTGTAATCGTACGAATCTAATAGTTGGAACTAAAAACGCAACGTAATGCAATCTTTGAACCTTTTTTGAGTCTTTGCAATGTGTGTTGGAGTATCGGGAAGTGTCGGACACGATACGTCAGGTGTTTTGAAGTGTCGGTGCTTCATAGGTTAGAAGAACTACATAACCCAAAACCAAACAATTCAGACTATGCACTAAGTCACACTCATAGATCAGTACTTATTTACCTCCCAAGTGTTTGATTCTTCCTGAGCTGCATACGGGAAAAATTAGAATGCCAAGCAAGATTCTCAGGATACCATGGCAAAGGTCTAATAGCATCAGTATCATCCCCTTCAACAACAACCTATACATAACAATTCAGAACCAAAATACAAAGAATTCAAACACAAAAACCAACAGAAGAAGCATGGTTATAATGGCAATGGCATTGCCGTTGATGACTTGCCTCGGATTGAAGAGAATGCACAAAATCATTCTCCAGTTGAGACCGAATATCCGCAGAAAACCTGCTACTGCAATCAGCCACCAGTTGGGAGTTTGTTACAGTTTGTTAATTAGTTTTGTATTCCGTTACGCGAAACCGAATATCGTCGTTCTGTTAGAGTTAGTTAATTAGTTATGCATTCTGTTGGAGTTAGTTGGTAGACAGTTGAGCTGTTGATACAAGATCTAAATCCGAATACCTGGAATTGATTCTGAATGCTGTGGGCAATGGAGTTCTGAGAACTCGCATGAATGCATCCCATTCATCTGAGGATAGGATTCCCTGCTCCTGAAAAAGAAAAAAAGTATCTGAAATAAGGAAAAGAGCAACGAGTTGGTGATAGTAGTAGATAAGGCATGGCTTGCCTTGTAATAATGATCGAAAGCAGGGTTTTGAGTATCGAAGCGAGTCGAAGTAGGATTTGAAGAGGAAGATTCTGAATCTGGACGCTTCCACTTCCACACATTCTCTCTGCTCTGCTGGAAATGCTTTCTTTGAGTACGACCCTTACCTCCTTTTCCTTCCCTCATAGCCTTCGAGTTTCACTTTCAGAGTGCAATTGCAGCACTCGTAGCCAAAGCCAATTCTTTCCGGGTCAACCAGACCGTAAACATGTTGGGCTTGGGCCTTTAAAAGTTGGTTTGGATGATTTTTAAAAAAATAAATATTTGGTATTGATAAGCCCTTATAAGCATAACATATATTGATGAGATGGTTATATTGACATATTTTTTTTTTATAAATTTACAAATTATATTATGTTCAACCGGTAAGATTTTATTTAAGAATATTTTACCGATAAGACATAGTGTAGTTTGTAAATAAAAAATTTGTAAATATAATATTTTTCTATATTTATTACGGGTTTTATGAATATTGTAAAGCGTCATTTCAACCAAAAAACTTAAGTTAGTAGGTGAGGCTAGGGATGTGCATGGATGACCCGAATCGATTTTTTTTAAAAACCGAACCAAATTGGTTTAAACGGTTCAGTTCAAAAATGGTTCGGTTCGGAAGTGGTTCGGTTCAGTGAAAACGGTTCGGTTCGGAACCGATTCGGGTCGACTCTATTTTGAAAAGAAAAAATTTAAAATTTAAAAAAATAAAGTTATAAAAATCAATTTGGTTCTGTTCGAAAACGGTTCGGTTCGGTTCTTAAACTGGTTCTAAAAACCGGTTCGGTTCATGAACTGGTTTTTTAAAAATCAATTCGGTTCATGAACTGATTTTTAAAAACCAATTATTTTAAGTGCAGTTCAGTTTGGTTCATGGTTCGGTTCAGTTTTTTGGTTATTTTGCACACCCCTAAGTGAGGCTATATTAATAATTTCATATATCTTTAACAAATATAATATTGCAGGACACTTCGTGTCATAGACACATAAATATTGTGGGTTACTACATAAAAAGAAAAAAAATTGGAATGAGTCCCACACTTTTTTAAGGGTGTAGGAAAAAGAAATTATATTTTCCATTTATTATTTACTTCAGTCAGAGTGCAATTGCAGCACTCTAACTTCACTCATAGTATTACTGGATGGAATATTATTAAGAAAAAAACTCTCTCAATGGAAGCTAATTTGAATAATATTCAAAGATGGAAGCCAAAAAGTAATTGGATAGATCACAACTGAAGCAGAAAAAGAAAAGGTATCGGATTGGCATGAAATTTATTGAAGAAAAGGTTCAATATTTCAATTTAAATCTATATCCGTCCAAGCAGCTTTATGCCAAATTAAGATGAATGACTCACCTCTTGAACAAAAAAGAAAACGTATCATATTTAGCATCAAACTCTATCCAATTCAAGTTAAATATCTTAACCATCGTCGCCTCGTACAGCATAGTGCCATCAGATAATAGTCCCATTTCATTTTTGGCGTAACTTGTTATTTTGTTATGATATCCCAAAAAATAAAATATCCCAGGAAGATTTTTTATTTCAAAGATAAATTAATAAAAGGTTGGAGGATCATGGTAACAGAGACCAATATTATATATTAACATAAGACATGGAATTTTTGCCAAGTACAGAATGCAAGAAAGAGATGAAATTCCCTTATTCTAAACATTAGGCAGAGATAAGACAATTGAAGAGAGCTTTTGATTCGGACCAAAAAAACATCTTGTCTTAAAGCTTCTTTTTCTTTTTCTTTTTCCCATGAAGTCAATTGGTCAGCAAGGTAAAATGTGAAGTCTTAGTAACACTCACAATGCACAAACAAAATCCCCACTTGCTTCTATATCATCATAGTCAGCATCTGAATCCATCTCATCAAGGTCCATGCTTCCTCCAACAAACTGTCCACCAATTTTTGGTCCCTCACCTGGTTTCCGAGCCTCTTGAATTATGGACAGTATTTCTTCAATGCTCTGAGATGAATCATCCACATCACTCACATCATTTTGCAACTTACCTTCCCCTTCATCCATAAGTTCCATTGGCAATGGCATGTTATTAAGGAACCACGGGTGCACTTTAATTTCTGGGATGGGGATTCTCTGCATGTGTAACAACGTAAAAAAAAGTTGACAACATAGAAACTAAAACCATATGTTATTCAACAAAAATATTTATATACGAATGAACTAATTATCATACCTTCTCGGGGTTAGCCACAAATATTCGAGACAAAAGTTGTCTACAATCTTTCGAGATACGAACGTAGTCTGGAATAGAATAGTGGACACTAAGAATTCGCTGTCAAAATAAAAATAAAATTATAAAATTGGGTGATAAGTTTATATTATAACACTTGAAAGTTTGACATTTGTTATATATGCATAGAGTAGAAATAGTATAGGTTTAGTCTCACATCATATATTTCAGGTTGTATGTACCCAATAGTTTTATGGGAAATATTACTCTCCTTTTACATGAGGTAACTTATCTCATTTTCTTTCACTTCGATTTTCGCACCCCACTTTTTTCTTCTTTTTCTTTTTTCTTGTAATGGTGGGACCCACCCATTTTCTCTCTACCACATGAGATAACTATCTTATGTGGAAGGAGATTAATAAAACCCTAGTTTTATATATAAAATAACCTCCACTGTGCTGTCAAGCACCCAATAATATTTGGTTATCTAACTAACCTGAATTGTTTTTCTGAAGTTTCGTGGGTCATCTGGATCTTCAAAAGGATAACCACCAACTAGCATCACATATAAGGTTACCCCACAAGACCAAACATCAGCAACCTACACGTTCTCAAGGATAAGAAAATATTTGGTAGCCAAAGTTAGCTACAAATTTGTAAAACACCTCTAATTATTAAAAGGAATAGGTTATTCTATCTATTATTTTTTCTGTCTATCTTTATCTACCATTCTCCAACACCGTTAGATCATAATCTTAACTAACATTTATCTTTTTCTCTCTTCTTAAGATTCTGATGTAATGATATTGAAAAGTGGTAAGCAAAGGTAGAATAACTTAGAAAGTAAAAGTTATCAGCAAAGTTTACCTTTCCATCATATTCTCTTCTTGACAATACTTCCGGTGCAATATATGCTGGAGTTCCCACGGTAGATTTAGGCTGGGAGTGCAGAACAGATGACTGAAGAAAGAGAGAGAGAGAAGAATTGGTAACAGGGTCTAACTAGAACTTGAAAAATGTTAAATGAAATCAAGTGACACTCGCCTTGGAGTAACCAAAGTCACATATTTTGAGTTGGGGTGCTAAGCTTCCATCTAAAAGTGTGTTTTCCAGCTTAAGATCTCTATGGCAAATGTCCTGCAAGAAAATGATATCTTCAATTCAGCTAAAATATTAGGATTCAAAACTGAAACATTCACTGAAAAAGAAGCCATTTAGATTCAGATTGGACAAGATTAATAGTACCATTGAATGACAATAGCTGACTCCAGAAATCAATTGCCGGAAGAAATATCTTGCCTATGGACGCAAAAGAGGAATTTAGGACAAAAGATTTAATGTTTACAAATATCTCGAATGTGAAATAATGTGTACTAGTTTTAAAAAATAAAACACTATACAGGACTTTGAAATTACAAAAATAAAAATGTTACTACAAAATGAAATTTTATTATTAAACCCTCTGTTGAGCAGGGTTGGAACCAACAAGCTATAAGTACTTGCTATTGAAAAATTCAACACATAGAGTCGTATTTGCTAAATTGAGAAACAGCACTCCTACTTTGTTTAATACAAAATGTACTGTGGATGCAACCTTTAGTACTATTGTGGGAGTAATTAAGAAATTACATAACTAATATAGTGGCCTCTTGGACAAGAGCATTATCATTAAGTCAACGGAGCTTTCCATTATCAATAATAAAAAGCGATCTAAATAGTAAATACCTCATCCTCACAAAATCTACCAGCGTTGCATATTCTTTCAAATAGTTCTCCCCCTGCAGCATATTCCATGACTATAGCTAAATGAGTTGGAGTACACAACACCTGCAATGAATTGCCATTTCATCTTCATCGCCATTAATATTACAAATTAGCAAGAGGTGATAGGCAAACAAGTGCATAAGAAATGACACCTTAGAGCTTAGGGATAATATATGGCACTGACTTTGCATACTAATGAAAATGATATCCAATGTAATAATAAAAAAAAAAGAATAAATATCATTTTTGGTCCTCAACAAATTTCAGGATATCTGATTTAGTCCCTAGCAAATAAAAAGGCTATTTGTGGTCCCTAAGAAATTTAAAATGGAACCATTTAGTTGAAATCGTGGTCTTCAAAAAAGACCCACATTAGTTCCTCAAAAGGACTAAAATAGATCCACTTTGAATTTTTTAAGAACCACGAATAGCTTTTTTTATTTGCTAAGGACTAAAGCGGGCATCGGAGGACCGAAAAAGATATTTACTAAAAAAAAAAAAAAAGGTTCTTACCTCTTTAAATCTAATGATATTGGGATGTTTCAGGGACCTATGATTTATAATCTCCCTTTGAACATGCTCATCAATCTGCAAAATCCAAAAAGATAACAAGGCAGAGAAATTGAGTTTAAAATCAAAAAAAAAAAAAAAAAAATTACAACCTTTAGGCCTCTCTCAATGATCTTGACAGCATAGAGCTCACCACTCCGTTTCTCCCTTACCAACTTTGCTACCCCAAAGTTCCCTGACCCTATATCTTTAATTATCTCATACTGTTCTTCCATTTGTTTTATATATATACTTGAAAGCTTCAAGCTCAAGCTAACAATATAGCCAACAGGGTTGTTGTATTGAAGAATATATGAGCTAGCGAATTGAACAATCTTCTATGTGTGGAGCATCACCATCTTCTTCATGGCCTCCAAATTCCAATGGGGAAAGATGTTTGCAAAAAATTTTAATGTGTTTTGGGTTTGGCTGCCATTTATATCACAACTACAAGTGGAATATCAATATGCCTTCAGAAAGAGAGCTAAAGCAGAAAGACGAAAATGGCACAAATCACACGTGGCCTCAAATTACTTGTCCACGTTAATCCGACGTGGGAGATGATTGCACCGTCCATGGAGAAATCACAATTTTATGTGACTATCCAATAACATTTAAAAATTCCTCCCGTCCATAAATACAAGTATTCGCTCATCGTCAGAGAGAATTTAAGACAATATTCATTATACCAATGATTGATAAGTGTCATTATTATCACATTTCACACATAGCGGTAATTTTCATTTTTTAGCAACTAATATTAAAAGACATTTTTCTTCGGCCAAGGCCTTCTATAAATAAAAATAAAATAAAAGAATTTAACGATTAATAACCCGTGTCAACTCCCATTAGATATAGGAATCTGGATCATCTACCATTTAAAAAAAATTATAAAAAATTTCAATCATAGAAAAAATCTCATTATTATTATATGGGAAAATTGTTTATCCTTTCAAATGACACAACTTATATCCTTTCACTCTTACAAAGAGATGGGACCCACACCTTTATTTTTTTTGTCAACTCTCTCTTCTCCTTTATTTATCTATTTCTCTCTCTTAAAATGACACAACTTTACATCCTTTAAAATGATACACACATTTTCCTTATTATATATTATAAAACTTAGATAACACATAAATTTTTGGACGAATAACCGCACCTAGCTATTTTTATAAAGTACAGGTGATCTTTTTTTTCCTATTGAATGAAAGGAAGGAAGGGGAATGACGTGGACGGTGAGGAGATACAGAGAGGCAACGGGATGTGATACCCCCACACTATGGGATGGAAGGGAAAAGGTAGGGTCCAGTTTTCCATTGTTGTTTCTTAGATAGTTAGATGTTATTCCATCAATGAGAAAATTGGAAGTTTCCTTGAAATTGGGTTGGGGGAATATGACATTTCTTTCTCGGGGATTTTTGTGTGCTCAGCTTACCATGATTCCATAAATATCAGAAAATGTTCCTTTGACATAATATATATATTTTTTTTTACTATCTTAAAAATTATTATTTTACTGAAATATATGCCGTGTATTGTATTAGTGTCATTTGACTTATTTCAAGGTGGAAGATGATAAAGGGTGGGGTCGTGGGGATGCCTTTCATTTCAACTAGGAGATAAAGCTCCATAACCATTCACCATTACAATATCTTAGCTGAGAGCGTTGAATGAGTAATACATAACAACATCACATTAATTATGGCAGGCCAGATAGCATAAAGTTTTGTCATAAGACTAGATCATGACACTACTTTTAACTACCTTGGTCAAAGAAATTGTATGCCGTCAATTCTCTCTTGACAAAATTTGATGCAAACCCTCAAATCAAAAACAGGATCATAAGATATACCGCAATCATTTACAAAATATCAAGCGAAGACGCAAGGTATTATTTGTCGAGGGATTCGATTATCATTCTCATCTTTGCCTGACCTCGCAAACATGACCTCTTCGGCCGTTTTGATGATCCTACTAAGGATCTTAATTAATTTATCTTGCATGTAGATATCAAATTCAAATTTATAATCCTCGATATTTTCTGGAGTAAAGATATATCTCCAAAACAAAACAAAACAAAACAAAAAATTAATAAAATGGATCCTCCCATATTTATATTATGTGAAAGATCACAATCATTTATTGACTAATAAATTGTATGTGATTTTTCAGTATGACACGTAAAGACCAGCCGCATCAAGATTTACTGTCTCGTTAGTGATACTTTGGCCAAAAAAATTTATTCTATTTAAAGATAATCCGAGCAGTTTAATAGTATCCCATGCTTATGACAAGCTATAATTGCTTATTCGGATTGGACTGATCTCATACTAGTAATTTGTCATAAATTGTCGTGGATATTAGAATAATATTTTAATCAGCAATGGAGTAATTCAACTATAGGAAACTACAATTGTAACAACAACACTGTTATTAAATTCGACTGACTCATTGATTTGGTCGTAGTACTGGTTATTGGTCGCTGATCTGAATATATATAAACATATAAAATTTTATATAAATATAAATATATAAATTTAATTATATTCTCCATATCTAAAATGAGTTAAACAAGATTCACTAAATAAGTTCAAAAATTATCCAATCACACTTTTACAAATTCATGAAGCACAAATAAATGAAAATGCACGTTATTACTATGTCAATTTAAATTGCAACTCAAAATTCACATAAGTATACCTCTCAATGATATTGGACTTATATTTTTCAAATTCATCTACATTGAAATGACATATGTCACATTCTCTTAATTTATTGTTCCGCAAATTGCTTCAGTATTGAAAGCTGAAATTGTTTATCAAAAAAAAAAAAACTAAAATTTAAGATCATTGTAAAAGAGTATACTAGCAAATAAAATTAAAAATAAAATAAAATGAGTTCTATATTTTTTTCTAACAAGATGAAACAACTTTGGTTTTTTGGTTTTTTTTTTATATAAAAATTCATGACTTAACCGGGTTACCGGTTTTGATCGGGTTTGGCCAGTTTTGTTCGGGTCAGATGCATGACTAGTCTAACGCTTGGCGGACGCAGGAATTTTAAGAAGAGGATAAGATAAACAATACTATTTCATAAATAAAAGTACTTGAAATACAATACAAACTTAATATACAAAAAATTGAAAGAAATCTATTACAAAATTAATATCACTTCACTTACTCTTGCTCTACGTGTTTTCATATTATTAAACTCATATATAATTGAATCCGTGCTAAAACTCAAAATAATTCCTTTTTCAATGTATGTAATTAAAGATAGTTTATGACTATACATACATGCAATGATCTTAGGAAGGTGGAAGTTGATTCTACTTGGCTCTAGAATTTACACAGTCAAAGGCTGAAGAAGGAGGTTGGTGATGGACGAAACACGAAAAGGAGAGAGAGGATGATATGATGTTCTCAAAAAAAATATGGATAAGGAGGCGTTTGGTAGAGGACAAAAAATTTTTTACTAGGGAAATATAATTACTGGGAAAATGGTAGGAAAGTCAGGTTGTTGGAAAAATTTAAAAAAAGATGTTTGGTTGACCGAAATATTACCGGGGAAATTTATTTAAATTTACAAAATCTAATCTATATTTGAGAGGAACTTCGCACCTGTTTTTCCACTTCCCTAGTTATCTCAAAATACCACATCTCAAGTGGTATTTTGTAACAGTGAATTTCACCTAAAAATCAATATCAAAGTCGTTTCCTAGCCTTCCTATTTGCCTAGTAATTTTTTCAAAAACTTAAACCAAACGTGATATTTTCCAATATCCACTCACACTTCCCCATCAAATCCAAAATAAAACTTATACCAAACGCACCTTAAAAGTGTGGGCAGAAGCATGTAAAACTGAAGGAAAAAATGTGTACAATACAGTAATTTTATCATCACATTTTTCTACATATATTACAAAAAAAAATCCAAATTTTAGAGGGGGGCGGGGGGGCCACCCTAGCCCCCCTACTGGGTCCGTCCCTACGCTTGACCCGAACCGATTTGATAATCGATTTACCGAGTTTCAAGTCGACCCAACCGGGTCAGGCCGAATTTCACATCACTGCTTATAAGAGTCTTATATCTGATTTTAGGATAAATATATACAAATTTTTTTAGCTGAATTAAGTTTGTTAAGTAATGGTTTAACTCCTAATCAAGTTTCAACACTAACTATAAATATACAACAGGTTAATTAAGTTCGTGTAAAGGGAGGAATTATTCTGCTCACCCTTTATCCTGAAATTAAATCAGAATAAACACATCATTTATTGTTCATTTTAAAAATAAAATTATTTTTATAAAAACCCTTATCCTAATTAGTATGTAGCATTATTGCCGGTAACTATTAATTTATTTATTTAATTATAATTGCAACTGACAAATATGAGCGCAAGAGATACGGAACTTCTTCAAACCTGAGAATATAGAATCAACCATCCTCCGTGTGTGTGTCTCTGTATATATATATGTTTGCATTTAACACGACACAACAAACTTTCTTATATACACAACATTTTGTGGAGCCCACACTTTTTGAAGAAAAAAGAAAATTACAACATGCAAAACGAATCTCTATGACGTTACACAATCACTTTTCCTACGACATAACTCTTATAAAATCTATATATATATATATATATATATATATATATATGAAAAATAATTTGTAAAGTGAGTGTGTATAAATATTGATGCGCTCACCTAAAAATTAGGTCATTTTGGGTGAGATAAAGGAAGTTCGTGTTCAAAATTGATTATAGAAAATGGAAATATTATATTTATTTTCACCTTTGTATGGTTATGATTATTCATATTTAATACTTTCACACTATAAAACGACATAGTTTTATATGACTGCACCAATCCTTAAGGGCAGTGACTGTACATCCACTAAACTCATATATATGTGTATGTGAAAAATATTTATCAAACAGCATGAAATATATTTATCTCCGTCAACCCAAAACTACGTCATTTTGTTTATGTATTTTCTAATATTAATTGATTTACCTTTGAATGATTATAATTCAATTTTTTTCTCTCTTCCTTTATTACAATTGATTCATTTTTGTACACTTATGATTTAGTAGCCGGAGATAAAGTTATATCAAGTAGCTTGAGAAACGATAAGCCATATATATATATATATATATATATATATATATATATACATATATATATATGGAAAATGTTTTACCGGAGATAAACTTATCTCAAGTTGCCGGAGAAATGTTTTTCCATATATATACAGAGAAATGTTTTTTCATATATATATATATATATATATATATATATATATATATATATATATATATATATATATATATATATATAGGGTTTAGTGTGTGTCATTCAAAAAGACAAGTTGTGTCCTTTTAGTAACTTACACATGGAGTATGACCGGTCGTACTCTACGTAATTCTGAAAAGTTATTTTTTTTCACTTTACTTCTCAGCGATGTGAGTGAGGAGAGAAAAAAAAACAGCTTTTCAGATTTACACAGAGTATGACCGGTCATACTCTGTGTAAATCATCTAAAAGGATACAACTTGTGTCCTTTTTGATGATAGTCTTTTTTCCCATGTATAATATATATATATATATATATAGTCTTTTTTCCCATGTATAATATATATATATATCATGTGTTAGGAATGATACTATTCACTATTGCAACCATTTTTTAATTATGAATTTTCGAGAGTACGTGGTTAAAAAAAGTATATTACAATTATGTAGAAATATATACTTACAAAATTTGCAAGTTGTGTTATAACAGAATATCCCATGCCCATATATATATATATATATATATATATATATATATATAAAAAGTGCAAGGCGATTTTTCTATATGATAAATTCAAGAGTATATAATAGTTAAGACTGTCAATATCATCTAAATTCATAGCAGCTGAACCCCATGGCTAATTTACTATATACTCTCCAGTATTCACGTTACATAATAAGGATTATCTCTTCTCTATAATTCATAGCCTGGAAACCTAGAGTTATCGGGTGCAAGCAGATCAAACCAGAGGCATGCTGTCCCAGCAAGTCCGTGGAAAAGAGAATAGCCATTGCCACCACTAAGTGCTTGCTCCTCAACAACCAGAGCTCTTGCATTATCACACAAGAAGCAAGAGAATGATCTTGCTCTCTCTTCATATATACTCTCTTTAGTTAATCGGTAGAGGGAAAGAAAAGCGTAGGCATTCCCAGACACACCATCAGCAAGTCCCACTTTCTTCACCAATCCATTCTTCCACACAACTTCCCCTGCTTCTATTGCCGCATCTCTCAGTTCTCTGTCACTTGGAAAAACCTGCAAAATAATTAAACACAATACCCAAGTTGTGTTGTCAATTGTCAAGCATTTACACTACAAATACTAAAGAAAATCAAGAAACCCTTTAGGACGGTAAAGAACCAATTCAACTCAAAAGCTTAAGCCGTGTTGGAAGAGATTATATTAATGGTTTTAATACTTTTCTAACACACCCCCTTGAAGGGTGGATAATACACAGACCTAACTATCTGTGCTAAGAAATTTCACAAGACTTAATTTAATAAGGGGTGCTAGGGGATCAAACCTGTGACATCAAAATTCTGATATCATATAAAACAATTATTTCAATCCAAAAGCTTAAACTGTTAGCTAAAACTAATTTTATACTTCTCTAACAAAGAGATATAATTAAGATGTTTTACCTGTGCTGCTTTGGACAATGTGATAGCCATGCCAGTTGCACCATGACCCCACTGAACTAACTTGTCCCTTGGATTCCCTTCGCTTGAAGGGTAGTTACCACTATGAGGGAAGCGTTTACTCATGAGGTATTTCAAAGTTCCCTTGACATCCTCAGCATCCTCTCTAGGAAGAGGAAAATGAAGTAGAACATGAAGGATCCCAGCAAGGCCATTTGCTGCACCCAAGTACCTAGTTCCATGCCATCTATACATCAATGGACAGTCTTTAATATCAGATGCTCCTGCTCTACCCCCAGCCAACACCGCATCAATAATAGGCATCAGAATATCAGAGGGCACTGCACCTTCTCCTATATACTTGTTTACAAATAATGCACCCCATAAGAATCCAGCTCGTCCATATAGAAGATCATATGACATTCCAAAACCACCTTCCTCGGGTCCAACTGGTAAGGCTCTCTCTTTAGCCACCTACGCATTGAAAATTCCATGAAAAATAATGGTGAGATTTTTGTTTACAAACTCTTACAAACTATAATGTGTCTCACCGGTCATACACTAATCAAGAGTAGTGTATGACCGGTCATTAATTTGTAAGAAAAATGTGTAAAGGAATCATTTCCCATAATGGTGATGTGTGAATTTGTCGTCATCAGCAATGCAAGACAGAGTGTGAATGTTCAGATTTTTTTTAGCATAATGCCACACAAATGAAAACAAAGTATGAAAATTCCCATTGTAAAGACCCTACCCCCACATTCATTTCCCTCACCTAAGGACAACGACTTTCTTAAAAGCAGGACCCCAGATGAGGTGTATGTACAAGTATACAAGTGAACGCGTGGAAATTTGATTGCTTAGCTAAAAAGAAAAATCGATGATAAATTGTGAAAGAATATTCTTCTAGACAATTCTTCCGTAAGAAAATTAATACTTTATTATTTAATACATTTTTGGAAAAAATATTTGTCGTTTTAAATTATACAACTTGTGTCATTTCACTCTCATAAAGAGGTGTGACCCACACCTTTATATTTTTTTGTCCACTCTCTTCCCTCCTTTACCTATCTCTCTCACTTAAAATGAGATAACTTTACATCCTTTAAAATGATACACATTTTTCAATTGTTAAATAATATAGACTCATTTTTATTTAAAATTTACTTAATAATTAAAGAAATGTTATGAATAAAGTGTATCAAATTATATAATAATAATATTTCTCAATTTTTGGATTGAATAAAGGTGGATGAAGAGCCAAAACGTGACTACATGTTTCATTAAAAAACACATAGCCAAAATATCGCATGCGCATAAATATTGTGTTTTCAGATTCTTAAACTGACCTCAATGAAGAGACCCAAAAACAGGTCACGCTTTTGAAGGTCCCCCATGTAATTAGCAACCACAGCACCAAGCGCATAAACGCCTCCTCTACCACACAAAAAAGTCACGTGCCTGCAACAAGTATTTTCTCCTGGTTAGATTTTTTAAAAGAAAGAAAAAAAAAAATCAAAGCTGAAGAAACAATTAAACAAATATATATATATATATATATATAAATATAAAGCTTATCGTTTCTCAAGCTGCTTGAGATAATCTTATCTCCAATTAGTAAATCATAACCGTACATACAACGATGGATCAATGACAATAAATAAAGAGAGAGAAAAAGAGAATCATAATCATTCTTTCAAAGGTGAATCAATTAATATAAGGAAATAAATAAATAAAACGATGTAGTTTTGAAGTAGCCGGAGATAAACTTATCTCAAGCTGATTGAGAAATATTTTTTCCATATATATATATACAGAAAAATATTTCTGTAGTTACTGCAAATAAGCTATCTGCATTTACTCTCAAAATGACATCGTTTTGAAATTGAAAGATTAAAAAATTATAATTATAAAAACTATAATAACTCTTAAATAAATTAAAATTACAAAAACGCCATGATTTTTTCCCCAAAATGACGTCGTATTAGGGTTACAGCAGATAGTTTATCTACAGTGACCGCAGAAAAAGCAAACTCGTATATATATATATATATATATATATATATAAGTATTAATGTAACATCATTTGCTTAAATTTGTGAGTTAAATTTGATTCTTTTTATGTTATCAGACTCTTGATATTATGAATTCGATCTTCGTCGCTTCATTTAGTTAATAATTAATTAAATTTTGTAAAATTTCTTAACACAAGTAAATAAATTAATATATTATCCACTTTTCAAGCTTAATAAAGTAAACTCTGTGTGATAAGAGATTAAGAATTAAAAATAATCTTACCTACAATTTAAACTTACCTAACGATTTAAACTTTTTAGTTAAACTGCTTCTTTACGCAATTAATTTGAAGACTAACTGCTACTGACTTTAAGAATTGTGGATATTTTTTGCAATATAACTTTAGGGAAAACATTTTCTTTTAAAGGAGAAAATTTTTCTCATGTTAGTGACTCAAAGCATATGTGAGTCCCACCTTTAATTTTTTTTCTCTTTCCACTATTTTGTGGGACCCACTTATACAATGTGTCACTAACATGAGAAAAATTTTCTCCTTTAAAAGGAGAAAATGTTTTCCCATAACTTTATTCGGGAAACTTATATATATCAGCAAAGATATAATAACAGATTATTTTATTCTCATACTTTAGCAAAAATAAATAAATAAAGTAACTTATATGATACATTAGTTACTAAGGCCAATTTGGATGAATTTCTATAAAAAAAAAAAAAATTATACCTTGCTTATTTTATAAACTTTTTATAAAAGTTAAAAATATTTAAATTTTTAAAATAATATTTATTTTTTGATATCTTCTTTTTTAAAAAACTAAAAATTTAGCTTCTAAAAAAAGATATTTTTGACTTTTTTGTGACTTTTATTTTTTTAAAAAGTAGATATTCAAATAAATTTATGAGTAAATACATTTTTCGGTCCTCATCAAATTTTACGATACCCGCTTTAGTCCCTAGCAAATAAAAAGGTTATTTGTGGTCCTAAAAAATTCAAAGTGGACATATTCTAATCCTTTTGAAGGACTAATGTGGGTATTTTTTGAACTTAAATGGATCCATTTTGAATTTTTTAAAGACCATGAATAGTCTTTTTATTTGTTAGAGACTAAAGCGGGTATCGTAAAATTTGATGAGGACCAAAAAAAATATTTATTCTAAATTTATTATTAAAAAATATTTTTTTTAAAAAAATAACTTTTGAGAAAAGAAAAACCCTTCCAAACGATCTAACTATCTAAGTACATTGGGTTAGGTACCGGACCATCAACCCAAAATGACTTTTAGTTGTACCGAACCGAACTGACAACAACAGCGCATCTCCATATAATCGTGTCTCATCGAAATATTCGTAATTTCGTACTATATCACACGAATCTTGCTAAAGTTGCCTGAGACTGACGCGACCCTCGCCATCGGAATCTCCCAGTCTCAAATCAAAATATCAAATGAAACCATCGGTGCAAACACTCTTTTCCGGCGTCTCTAAGAATAATGTTACATGAATAAAAATACCTACACACGTAATTTCATATTCTATAATTTCTATTATTTAACTATAATTAATTATATTTTTTTTTATAAACTTATATTCTATTTATGTCACCTGCATAATTGTAAGATGATGACTTTAAAGATATCGTACACCAAACATAATTCCTCCAGAAAAAAATATAATTAAATTAAATTAAGAGTAAAGTCTTTTTGTCCTTGACAAAAAACACGACCCCATATTCATTTCTTACCAAAAATAAAAAATTAGTCTCTCGTGGTCCTCATGAAATTTAAATAGATCCATTTTAATTTTTTTAAGAGATTAATGTAGTTCTTTTTTAAAATTTATGAGGCATCACAATCTCAACTAAATAAATTCACTTTAAATTTTTTAAAATCTCGAAAATAATTTTTTTTTTGTAAAAAAAAAATATAAGGATCGTGTTTTTTCTGTTAAAAACTAACTTTACTCTTAATTTAATTATATTTCTAATTTTAACGAGAGAATAGACAATACAACTGAAAATTTAAACCAAGTACAGGGAAGTACCTGAGGGAGGCACGTGCAAAAGTGGCACACGTGTCGACGATCTCCGTGCATAATAGCAAATCCTTCTGGCTACCAGTAACCTGGTACGACCTCAAGCAAGTGAAAGCTGTGCCTAGAAGACCCGTGTACACGGTCGGGTCAACCACTTCTTTCAGTTTCCAAGTCTCCTCCACCACCTGTACACATGATTTCACTACTTGTTAAGGTTTATGTTCAAGACTAACAACTTCTATATACACTATTATTCCTTTCCATGTGTTATTGTGCGAAAAAATGCAAAGAAAAAACAGACACCTAAACAAGAAATGAAAATGAACAATATTAAGACACATGCCTTGTCTTTGAGAGAAATTGCGGCTTTCAAGAATGTCTCTCTGGGAAGTGAAAGGTTTGCAGCCGTAAGATTCATGTTTTCTGTGATCAAATCAGAGGGCTCGCGTTTGCCCTCATCTTGTCCACCCTCAACCACTGAAGATGTCATTGCCTCTCTTTAGCTCTGAAATGAAAGAGTGAGCGATTTTGGCAATTCAAATTAGCAATGAAAAAAAAAAAAACACTACAAGCAAATAAATGAGTCTGAAATGAAAGAGTTTTTTTTTTTTTTTTTTAAAGGCACTAACCGAATCGTATTGAAGATCAATTGCTTGCCTACAACTATATATTATATTATATCCTTCAGCTTAGTTAAGAGGAAAACGTGTCGAGCAGTGATTCTATGGTATGGCGGTGTATGGAGAACGGTACGGCCACTTGCCACGTTTGCTACTTTTATCACGAATTGTATTCTAACTAGATTATCATGCGAATCACATGCTATTCTGGATAAGATATTTTTTTATCCCAACTCAGAGGGTTGTGGCTTGTGGGGCAGAAGAAAAGAAACCCATGTCAATGTCCACTTTTTAATCTGTAATTAAAATTCAATTGTTAAGAAAAACAACCGAATCGGTTAGAGATAATATTAAGGGTTGGTTTTTTGTCATGTGACATGACTATAGCATTTTTCTGCACACACAAATCAAGTGTGGGTCACACGCTTATAAAAAAAAGTCAGACAAAAATCAAGATACGACGCCGTATCCTTAAGATACGGATGCGGATCCTTGTTGCAGGAATGAACAGTGTCATTCCTGCAACATGATTCTTGTATTTCCCTGATATAAATCAATAAAAAAAAATCTTACAATAAAATTTTGGGTTAAATTAATTCTTTACATAGTATCAAAGTATTATGATCATAAAGTCACGAATTTAATCATCATTGCTCCTCAATTGTGGAATTAAAATAAGCATAGAGTAAACTAAAATAAAAAAATTAAAAATTAAGCTTATGTAATATCCACGATTCAAATTTAAAAAACTCTTGCATACATTTTTTTGGATTGAATTAATTCTTTACGCGGAGAATACATAATTGATTTGTTGGGCTTTTTCTATGGACATGACCCCTGGTGTATTTAATTCTATGTCCTTTCTATTTATTTGTGATGGACATTAAAATTAAAAGTATGTTAAACGTGATATCATTAACATCTACTTTTAATAAATTTAATATAACTAAGCCCATTGGAAACCTGAAAAATAAAACAAAGTCGTAAATCGATCAAATATTGGATAGACATAATGACAATGTGCCTAATATATGCTGTCAGGCTTTGACCTTTGTACATAATTAATACTACCTAGGTACTATTTTTTGTTGTCTTGAGCACACAGATATATTCAACAGCTTAATATGCTCGAAAAGTGCAAAGAAAATGCAACGAAAAGGTGTTAGCGTGTAGGATACATAGATAAGTTACTAGATAACAAAAACTGTATACAATTAATCATGATAAAAAAATAAATAGAAAATGATAAGGTTTGAAAAATAAGTTGCTATTGCATCGTTAATCAATGCTAGTGGTGAACGACAGAAGGCATAAATATAATAACTTTGCGTATTATGTCAGTTAAACATTGTCGTGGACGCTTAGGTAGTCTAAATGATTATAATTTTACTTATATCTCTGAGAAAGAAACAGAGTAGAAAAAAAAAAATTAAGAAATTATCTAAACAGATGCAAAGCAAAAAACAATATAAACACAAGTGTTTAATGTATGAATTCTTGTGGAATTTGCGTTACGTTTGTAAGTGTTCCTCATTGGATGGTTCCTTTCGGGGAGAATGATAACCTCTTCTACGTATAAGATCTCCAAATCTTCTCAACAAAGCTCTTCTTTTTCTTGAGTTTCTTTCACTCTCAGGATCATCAGACTGCGATTCATCTAGATGATCAAAATCTTCTGGAGTTCCTATTTCTGCATCATGACGTGATTCTGAGTCTGATGAATCCACTTCATCAAATATTGAACCCCTTAATGTATCATCACCGGTTTCTTTGTTGGCCTCTTCATTCCCAACTTTGTGTTGTTGCTTATAAGGAGTTATCATGTCTTTTAGATTAAGACTGAAAGTTTTGCTCAGATTCTTAGATTCTTTATGTTCCTTATCTGCTGAGCTATGTGCCTTTGCTTTCTTCCCTGATTCCTTATCCTCCTTATTATTACCTTCCTTTATTGATAATTTCTCCATATCTTCATTTTTGAACTCCTTTTTTGATGATAATGATTCCGACAGCAACCTCTTCAACTCTTTGATGTTCTCAAATGATGAAGCTTCATGAATCTTAAGCATCTCATTCTCGTGCACAAGCAAGCTAAGGCTATCTTGAAGTCGAGCATTTTCAGCCTTAGCAATCTCTGCAGCTTCTTTTGCTACATTGGATTCATTCAAGGCCTGTTTAAGTATATCACGTAACTTTTGATTTTCATCCTTTGAAACCTTGGTTTTATCCTCTGCTTCTTTGAACAACTCAAGTACTCTAGTGTTTTCATTTTGTGCTGCCAATCTTTCATCTTCAGCTCTTTTAATACAATTCACAAACTCCATTTCCTTACCATTCCATGCCAAAAGCGATTCTTCAGCTTCCAATCTAAGTCTCTCAGCTGTGTTTTTGAATCTTTCAGCTTCTTTCCTTGTAACATCTAGAAGCTCTTTGTACTTCTCTTCTGTGCTTTCTAGCATAGCTCTCCAACGCTCTGCATCCCCTTTGGTGTGTTCTAGTTCCACTTCGCTTAAGGTTAGTTTTGCCTTTACCTGGTTAGCTTCAGTTGCTACCTCTTTGAGTGCAAATGCCAAATCATCCATAGCCTTCTTGCTATTCTCTTCTGCTTCTGTTGCTGCCTTCAATTCATTTTTAAGCAAGTTCAATTCTTCAAGCAAAGTTTTGGCCTTCGTAGATAACCCATCACTCTCTTCTTTTTTTGCTTCACTTTTCATACCCTCTATGATAATGTTTTGGGTGGCACCTCCTTGAATTGCTTTTATTTTTTCTTGAAGAGAAGCAATATCAAGCTTTGACTCCTCAAGCAAAATCTTATTATGCTCTAGCTCTTTTGTTTGCATCTTCAAAGTGTCAAACAAATTCGCTTCTGATTCTTTTCGCTTGTCAATTTCGGCCTCCAATTCTTGAACTTTCATTTTATACTCAGACAATAAAGCAACTGCATTAGCCTCGGACAATTGGAATTCTGATCCTTTTTTGCTTTCATGTTTTAATGATTCCGTGCTGTTAGCTTTTATACCCATTTGTTGTTCTCTTGTTGGTTCTGAAATCCTCTTCGTTGCTAATACTTCTTCAACCATGACATTAGTCTCCACAGCAACCTTTTTCATTTCTTTAAGCTCCTTGAAAGCTTCCCCTTTCTCTTCCTCAAATTTTCCCATCTGCTCCTTCAATTGATTCAGCTTCTCATCATATTGCTCCACACGATGATGTGCTTGCATCTTTTGAACCTTGTCAATTTATATTGATCACAATCTACCCTTTTCAAAAACCACCACCATATTAGAACAAATCAAAATAATAATTCTAAAACATGGCATCATGATTACAATCACAAACAACTAAAGAAAACAAAAAAGAAACAAGTATTTGATAAAACTTGGGGACTCACATGGACTTCTTGGTGGTGGAGTTGTTCCCAAACATGAAACAATATTTTCAAGCAGCAACGTCAGGTGAACAAAAACAAGGTAATGATTGGAGACCAAAGAACGAGGATTACAGAATATCCTTTCAAGAGGAAAGCGAGGAAGCGGAATCAATGAAAAAAAGGACTTGTAGGATATGGAAGGTGAAATGTTTAATCGTAGATAAACCCTGCATTTAGGAAGCTTCTATTATTAGAATATTGAATATAGGAATAGTAACCGAGGAAATAGCAAGATAAAGAGAAGAAAGAGGGGGTTTAGTTTTCGATAATTCCGAGATTGACGTGATTTCCATAGGAACCAGGGGCTTCAAAGAGATTTCCTTAACGTTGGATCGTATTGTTATTAAGGTAAAATTTGTTGTGCCGTGCGCTGAATGAAGACGAGAGGAAGTTTGAAATTGGATGAAATCATTCGACAAACATTTGACGGAATCTACGTCGAACCAACCAATGTCCTTAATCGTTAAGACATGAAAATATTCTTGAATTGTAGGCTTCAAGCGGCTGACATAGTCCAAGTCTTTGGAGAATGATATTATATGTAAGCACGCACATTGATTAATAAAAGTTGATATAGATTAACAAAAAAAAAAAATGATATATAAATAGATTTTATGTTATGTAATAACTTCCCTACACATAATTTTATGTGGGACTCGTCCCTTGACTTTTCTCTCTCCTCTCTCTTCTCGATTGTATGTGTGAGAAAATTATGTAACATAATTAGAGATGGCAATATGGATTTAGCCCGACGGGTTAACCCGCCAAAACGGGACAGGCTGGATAGAGATTTTAAACCCACCAACCGACTTCAATTCGCCCCGCCTAGAAGTGGGTCAAAACAGGTTCAACCAGCTAGATTATAAAAAAAATTTTATAATTAGGTAGTATTTCATTTGTCATTAAATTTTTGTGATATCCAAATTTTTTTTATCTTAATATTTCCTAGAAAAATAAAAAATAACAATTTTATTTATGACAAATGTTATCTATACAGGGAGACAAATCAATTCCTAAAGAATGTTTGACAAATATTAATATACATTTAATATTAAAACTGAACAAAATTAAGATAAGTATGAAATAAAAAAAATATTAGAAAAATTAATAAAATATAATTTGTTTTTAATTTTTAAATTTTTTTTAATTGACGGGTTGGTGGGTTGACCCGCCAATCCACTATAAAATAGAGTGGGTTCATTTTTTCAACTCATATTTAATGGCGGGCCAACCCGTCCAGCTCCGTTTTTGGCGGGTTGGTGGCGGGTCAGGCGGGCCAACCCAAATTGCCACCCTTAAACATAATAAACATAAAACCCTATATAAATTGAGTAAAAGGAAATGCTAAAAATCATGGAAGAGGCATTTTTTATTGGGAGAGATTATATTTATTACCTCTCTTTTTTAACTACATTTTACGATCAAATCTTAACTGTTATTTTTTTCAATCTAATGGTTATAATTTATTGAAAATTAATAATTAATTAATTAATATGACCTAATAAATTACAACCGTTAGATAGACAAAAATCAACGTTAAAATTTAACAGGTTGGATGTATTTACCAAAATAAGCTAATCCTTAAAGCGTCGGATTGCTAATCCGTTGTACGAATTTTTGTACGAAGTAACTGGAGTTCAAACGGAGCACCTAACAACATATCTTCACAGACCAAGAACTACGAGATCGCCCCTTTCATTCTGGGGTGACGGGAAGTAGTAATTATAATCTCCCCTTTTTCATAACCTTCCTACTCATCTCCAAATTAGAATCTTAATTAATTAACTTTTAGTCTTTCTTTCTCCTCGATTCTAATCTTAATTAAAAAAAAGTAAATAGTGTAAATAAATATAAAAAATATATATATATAGACATAATATTCTATCTATTTTTATAATATTTATATTTATATTCAAAGTATAAACCTTAAAGTCTTCTTTTTTTTCATTTAGAAAAAAATGTTAAAATCTTTATGTATGAAAGAGGGATCAATACATCAAGAATAATTTTTTATCAAATGTTTTCACAAACCCCACCGATAAATTGAAATTTCATATAATGTAGAAAGTTTAAAACAATAGCTTCCCAAAATCAAAATAGTTGGCTCTTACAAGTTACAAGTAAAACTCTTCGGAGCCTGCGATACTCTTCAGCATTATATGTAATGTAATCATCCTTAACGCAATGTAAATATCCTTAATGTTTGGGTGAGATGCATCCCCTGTAACAAAACAATGGAATTTGTTTCCAATCTGCATCCAACTATGAACCATAAGCTCTATGTTTCGTAAATCCCTTGATCTTTCATCATAACTCTGACTTCGATGACATCTTTCCTCTTGTCGATAGCGGAATTTATTGTAGACAAAATTCACTCGCCATACCCACTTGCGAAACTATGCATGAGGGAACAACCTTCCCTTTGCATGATTTTCTAGATAGAGACATTTGTTACTCGTATGTTATTTAACATTATCATATAATGCGAGAAGATTCTAAATTTATATAGGTAAATTAATAATAATAAAGAAATAAAAAAAAAATTAGAATAGGAAATTATAAAATCATTACCATTGATTTTTGGGCCATAACTCATCAAATATAAAAATTCAGGTTCTCTTAGCCAGGCTTCAGGGCTTTTTTGATCATTGGACAACGTTTGATAAAAAAACATCTTATCTTAATGTATTTTCCAAAAGTTTTTTTAGATTATACAATCAATCTCGTATGTTAACCATACAGGACAAGTCCCGCACACCAAGAATGGAGGATTCAATGCCAAAATGAAAGTCCTGCATGAAAATACTACGAGACTAGTCCAATACGAATTCCATGAGGGACTTAAGTTTATTTTGCCTATTTATACAATTTTATTCAAATTATGATATTTGATATTTAACTTTTCGTAGATTACATTTACAATAGAAGATATCACTTTAGGTTTGACAGGTTGTTTCAATAGGCCAATTTCGATATTTTAAAAATGAATCATGCAAAAAGTCAGGTGTAGCATGCTGACATGAGTTCGATTCCTGATCATATATATGAAAAATATTTTATTGATAAAGGCAAAATTTATTTTAATGATCACAACGCTTGTATTAATTTTTGGTTGTTGATTAGGAGATACTTTAAAAAAAACTCAAAGAAAAATTAGGCGCAAAGTCAATGTGATTTAACATGCAGAGTTATTAGGGAAACAATATGAATTTTAGTTTTTGCAGACCACTTTATGTTTGTTTCAAATATCGAAGAGCTGTTTAAATTTTTTGCAAATATCAAAGTTCAAATAAATTCCATATGGAAATCGTACAGGACTAGTCTTATGCTGACAATGAATCTCACATTCTTGGCGTATAGGACTTATCTTGTATAGTCAACAAGCAAAATTGACCACATTAATATGGAAAACACATTAAAGTGGAATATCTTTTGGTCAAAGGTTGCACAATTAGGTTCGTTTTTTTTTAAATTATTTTAGATAATTTTATTTATTGCTCAGCGAAACAATGTCATCTTGAAACATAAATCATGATTTGTTTTTAAATTTTAATTTATTTCAAGATTATAATTGTCTTTATCATTCTTATTTTTTAATTTTTCAAACGCGAAATGACGTTTTAGTGAACATTAATAAATATTATAAATAAATATTTGAAAATGTGAACATTTTACTAAGTATGATAAAATATTATTAGATGATGATAAAAAAATTATACTTAATTAAAATTAAGGTATTAAACCCTTGAGTTATGGAGTCTATTTACTTATATTTGGGGCTTAATACTGACTCTAGATCTGTAAAAGGCTCTGATACCATGTAAAGAATCTTGGGATACACCACCTCTCAAAAGCTAGCTCAAAGGGAGGGAGCCCTCTCACACAAGAGCTCATTGAATTTGAAGAGTGAACAATGAAACAGGCCCAGCCTACCTGTGCTAAGAAACGCCACAAGAGAAAGTGGGGAGCGGGCGAGGCTCTGATACCAAGTTAAGAATCTTGGGATAAGATCTCATTGAGTGACACTTGATTGGAACGTAATAACGTAAAGGAAAAAATCAACATTTCTCCGCTGAAAATAACAAAAGATCATTCCTTCACAAAACATTGGACAAATGAAAAATAAATTAACAAGGAAAAAAGAAAACCCGATTCAGTTCAAAATTTATAATAGCATTAGATATTGTTTTAAATAAATTATTGGTTTGCAGGATCTCTCATGGTAGGGAGGAAAGTTAAGAGATCAATAGAGCCTGTTTGAATCCTCTTATTTTTAAGCTAGGAGCTACTTATAAGCTAAAGCTAAAAATAAGAACTTAAAAAAAAACTAAAAGCTGTTTGGTAATTACATAAAAAATTTAGCTTAAAAATTACTTAAAAGCACACGTTTCAAGTAAATTATTTCTCTCGCTATCTTTATAACTCTTCATTTAAAAAAAAGCACACAATTCAAGAAAAACAGATAAGAGCTTAAAAAAAAGCTCCTCCTAGGAGCTTTTAGTTTTTAGCTTTTTCTTCAATATAAAAAAAAAGCTTTTCATTATAAGAATTTTTTTCAAAATCTATTTGGCCTAGCTTATGCTTATAAATAACTTCTAGCTTAAAAATAAGAGGATCCAAACAGGCACTAAAAGTCCACTACCACGAAAATTAGGATCAAGGTGTCAATTATTGGACAGATGACAAAAGCACAATTCGCAGTACCGAGCAACGTGGAATTCATTTATAGCAATGTACCGAACAATTCGCAAGAATCTTGAATCAAACTGAAAGAAATGCCAACAATATGGCTGCAGATAAACCAAATCTGAACATTTGAATTAAAGAATTAACTCTACACAATTTGATGTTTGGGGTCTATATATTACGGCTGGATCGCCCACCAATTACAGTAATAAATCTATGTTAGTTCACTATATCTAACGACATAGGAACAAAAATCCTAGAAAAGATCTAGAATCGCAGATGCCCTATAAGTTAAACAAATCGTCAAGCAATAAACAGTGCAACAGTTGTAAAAAAGATTATATTTGGTCCACAATCCCAATGATCACTTTTGCGGTAGATTTGCTTAACGCTTGTTGTGCAACCATTAACAACTGAAGTTCAACACCAAATACCAGTAAACAATTATGATAGTAATACGAACAAACAAGTGCATTAACCTAGCTACAACAACATTAGATGGCAACAAAAAGTTGTCCCATAGAATTTAGAGTGACTACACAACGAGAAAAATGAAAGCTCCCACGTTGTTCAACACAGACCCAATTTCTGAAAACAAACCTTAACAATTCCTGGCAGTACCCATTAATGTGACGACTCCCAACAGACACACCTATATCACCTAGCAATCTATTGTTTCAATAAAATACAACCGAAAAACAAAAAACACTAACAGCAGCCCCACCCAAATCTTCAGCGCAGCGAACATATCAACTCAAGCACGTTCACCACGAATCCTTCTAGCCAGCTGGATATCCTTAGGCATGATAGTGACACGCTTGGCATGGATAGCACACAGGTTGGTGTCCTCAAAGAGTCCAACAAGGTATGCCTCAGCAGCTTCTTGTAGTGCAAGCACAGCATGGCTTTGGAAACGTAGGTCAGTCTGCAACAATAACCCAGTTCTTAATTATTAGCTATGATCCAAACAAACAAGATTTAACTAACAGCAGCAATAACACAACAATACCTTGAAGTCCTGAGCAATTTCACGAACCAACCTCTGGAATGGGAGTTTCCTGATCAGGAGCTCAGTACTCTTCTGATATTTCCTAATCTCACTGTTTCAAGCACCAATACATCATTAGATACCAGGGCTATAAAAATTAAATAGCACAAACGACAGTTCTTAGCAGTTATATTTCGCTACTCACCGAAGAGCAACAGTTCCAGGACGGTAACGATGTGGTTTCTTCACACCACCAGTTGTTGGTGCAGACTTACGTGCAGCCTAGAACCAAAAAAAAAAAAAAAAAAAAAAACCATTAGACAAAAATTCAAACACATAACACAAATCACACAAACGATGATTAATAATATGATTCAAAACAGACCTTGGTTGCAAGCTGCTTCCTAGGAGCCTTTCCACCAGTGGATTTACGAGCAGTTTGCTTTGTACGGGCCATCTGTAACAAGGACCAACAATAACTTCAGAAGACATCCTCTAATTGAATAATATAATACACACATATATACATATATATTGGGGAAAACAAACGAAGACCAAATTAAGGATATTCATGTCGATCCAGAGAGTCGTTAACAAAAAAAAAATAAGACCCATGGTTACCGACATAATTCAATTCTCAACTCAATTCAAAAATACAACATCGGTCGAGTTAAATTATCGCCTATTAAGCCAAATTAAGGAACTGGAACCCTAGAAAAAAAACTAATTGACAATGTTAAAGCGATGGCACCAGAATTAGTTCCTTAGAGGAATAGAGAAATCAAACAATAAAAACGAGAAACGAATGGAAACCCTTATTATGCAAACTATGAGAAACCTAAGACATGATAATAACCATTGTACCCAACCCTATACAAGACTCAAACCCTCATATTCCCTGCAACCCCGTTGAGAAACCTAAGACACATTCGAATTTTTGAAAGAACGAAAACGCGCAATAATTTACAACAACGAACAAAAAAACAGAAACCCTAATTTCCTAAATCAACAAATAAAAACTAACCTCGAAGGACTTTGTTCTCTTTCTCTAAAACTCGTTTGCTGAATCTCAAAGAGAAGAATCTAAAGATTTTGAAAGAAAAGAGTAGACGAGCTATATATAGCGCGTGGGTGGAGGCGTAGGTAACTGATCGGACGGATACAAATGACTATCCGTGTGTTTTTTCCCGTTACGATCCGACGGTTGCTGAAGTGTTGGGCTGTGTTTTCTCAATTCAAATGAACGACTTCGATGCTATTTGGGGCGCAACACACGGATCGTGAGGTTTATTTGTTTGCTCCTCATTGGTTGCTTCAATACACCAGTTGTAGCATTCATATTCAATTTTTTATTTTTTTTTTGGTTGGAAAAAATTCAGTAGGCCTGGAATAAACGACTTTTTTTTCTGCTGATACTTTCTTTTTGGGCCTTAGCCCATCAAAGATGAAAATTTCAGAGGTTCCCCTCAGGTAAAGTACAGGCCTGGGGCATAATATAATACAAGGTCCAGATTTCACTACCTGTAGCTTGAACGCAATACACCAAGGAATATATAGAATTTCTCATCTAAAACTTAATAAATAAATCATCACTTTATAATTCCTAAGTCAGAAGGGCATTTAAAGCATGGCCAGGGTACAGGAAAAAATATGGACGTTTGGTATAAGGTATTTTTTAAGATTTTTAGAAAATTAAATTTTTCTGAATTTTTAATTTTAGATATTATGATAAATTGAATGTAAAAATCATATTTTTGAAAATCGAGATCCTCGGATAAAAAAAATTTTCTCTTCTACCAAAAAAGACTAACGACATGTTTCAATACTGTTTTTGAAAAAAAAAATTTATTTTTAAAAATTAAAATACAAAAAAAGAAAATGCTTGAATGCCTATTTTTCTTTAATTGTTTTCAAATTGTATTTGTAGAATAATAAATCAAAAATAAATTTTAATTATTTCTATTTTATTTAACTTGTTTTAGTAAATATGATATTCCCATTTTAAACTATGATTGCTATCAGTAATATCCTCTGTGTAATTTCCGCCACCTGATTGTAATTGGATCATTTTAAATTTTTAAAAAATTATTCTCAAAATAAAATTTATTAAATATTAATGTTTCCATTAACAAAAAATATATATAGAATCAGTCCCTCGTTTCTTTATTTAAAAGTGGTTGTGATTGTATAAAATAAAATAAAAATAAAATTGGTTGTCAAATATTACATGCAAGTAAATTTCTTAGATATCGATCCCACACATCCTTAATCAGTGTCATCCACCCCAACCTTTTCTTTTTTTCCTTTATTCCTCAACAACATTTATATTGACGTAAAATATGTGGAAAATGTGAGAGATGTTATACGCAATGTTTTTACGATCTCAAATAGAAAAAATATGTATCATTTTAAAGGAATGTAAAGTTATGTCATTTTAAGTGAGAGAAAAAAATAAATAAAGAATGAGAAAGAATGAAAAAAAAATATAAAAGTGAATCTCACCTCTTTGTGAGGGTGAAATGACATAAATTGTGTCATTTAAAACGACAAACATTTTTTCTATCTCAAATATCATAATATCATATCATGCTAAAATAATCGAAGCCATTTTATTCAAATAAAGTGTGAAGGATCTGACAATAAGATGGATAGTATAAAGCGTAATTATTCAGGCAAGTGTACCTCAATATAACGAAAGGTTGTACTTGAACCTCTGTTGGTGGATATCAAATTTGATGGAGATTAGATTTGAAAGTCAAAATTGGCTGCACAAAGATCCCACCTTGATGGGTCTACATGAGAGTAAAAACAAAAAAATGGTTTTTGATGCGGAAGCATAGACAATCTATGCGTCTCATGTTTTAGGATCTGCCCGTTAAACATGTAGGGTTTAAAATTCATACTTTTTTTCATTTGAAGGTGTCAAAGTGGATGACTCCACCTAACAGTAATCCACACGGCTACCTCTTGGTTGCTTCTAAGAAACGCTTTCTCCCTGAACCCTCCCTTTCCTTGGAAGCTCGCTAGGCTGCGGCAAGGTGGAGACTTTCAAGTGTTTTTGTTTATTTTTCTCAAGACTGTGATGTTGTCTTGAGGTTAGGTGAAAGGACCAATAATGGAGGAAGAGAGATGAAGAGAAAGAGGGGCAGCCAAAAATTAGGATTTTTTTTTTTTTTGATAACAAAAATTAGGATTTTAGTCCAGAGAGGTGCTGTATGTCTTGATCTGAAGAAAAAGACGTTACTTTAACGTGGTTCAGCAAATCCCTTAATCAGCATTAAAAGATGGATGTTACATTAACGTTTCCTCATCAAATCCCTTATTCAGCATTAAGAGATGGACGTTACATTAACGTTTCCTCATCAAATCCCTTAATCAGCATTAAGAGATGGACGTTACATTAACGTTTCCTCATCAAATCCCTTAATCAGCATTAAGAGACAGACGTTACATTAAATATAATTTTATTTAAATTCATAATTCAAATAAAATAGAAATAATAAATCTCTATCTAATCATATTAGATAGGATAATTCAAAACTATCCTTAATTACCTAACCTCTTGAATTTAAATAAAATTAAATTCGATTTTATCCTAGCCCGCAATTTAAATTTGAATTCAAATTCGGAATTCGAAAATTCAAAATTCGATTTGCGCCAAAAACTTATTTTGGCCAAGTCAACTATTTGGGCTTATTAATAGAAAAATTAATCTTTCACTAATAGTCCAAAGGCGCATGATGATAGTGGACTTGGAGTTCAACTCCAACCCAATTACACCTATAGTCTTGAAAAATCCAATAACACTCATTGGTCCAAACTTGCTAAATGTAAGCAATCAAGAATAACCTTAGTGTGTGACCCATTAGGCTCAATTAGTCACTGACATAAATAAACTTGAACCAATTAAACTCGTTTAACAGGCCCAATTTATCTAATGACCACATAAGACACTAGCAACGCTCTGTAGCCCCATAACTAATTGAGTTGATCAAGTGATCTACCTTTCTAATTTGGATACCGTGCCGGCATCATCCCTCACAACGTCATTCACATTTAGTCGAGAGTAAGGATAGAGTATCATATCTCTTTATTGACTAAATATAATATTTCACAGGAACTAGGAATCTTCTTCCATTGACTCTAAGATAGATCATGACTCTTCATGATCTCTTACTATGCATAGATTCCCAAGTCAACTAGAAGTCATCCAAGCCTTACCGGTCTTGTGAACGACTAATCCCTTGTAGGGGATTGTGAAGTCCTTTCGGCATGTTCATCTATACTCATGTATTCGAGTCATACCCAAGAGTACACTGTTCTCCCCATTTTTCAGGCGGATAAAGTTGTACAGTCAAAGTATAACTCTAGGACATAGTATTCGATGACATCCTTAAGTCTAGGACGATCTGCACTACCAAACGATGAGAGACTTTACAAATCCAATGATACTCTCTATAATGAATCCTTGTGGAGTCTCTCGGTGGGTCAGTTCAGTGCTATCTGTTCTCTAACAGATCCACCCACGACATCACCTAAAACATCACCGTGCCTGCATTCCATGAGGTTCCTACCTCGTATCTTTATACAAGTAAATGACGTCGTACTAGTCTTATTGAGATCACCAATACCCTTTCTTAGTGATTCAAAACCAGGAACAGATTTTAGATAATAGACATACAGTGTCATCGAGTCCTCATGATCATGATCCCTATCATAGATCCCCGAGTGAACACCTGCTCTATTCATAGGGTCTTTATCTTTATTCACATATTAACAATAAAATATTGGCGAGACATAAATATGATAAAGATAAAGTTTGCTCAAATTTATAAATCATGAAATACCACTTCGAAAAAGGTGTTCATTTGATAAAACAGATTGTCTCTTGGACACCTATATACTAACAAGATGGTGGCTACAGGTTACTCATTCGTGCATTTCGATAAGCAAAAGGAGTGGTATGCCTGCAAACACCTCATTGCTCAAATCAATACGTGCATGAGATAGAATGTATGAGATTAAAAGCATAATATTGGTCATTGTCAAGATGTCGAAGCCTTTACTTATGTATGACAATAGGGACAGTTGACTTTGTTAAGTGTTTAAGATGCTAGTAAGGGGCCTTGGATTTAGGGAATTTCATTACAAGAGTTGTTATTGGGTTTAATATTTACTGATTATGTCATCTTTGTCTTGTAATGGGGGTTTATGCGAGGCACAAGAACCAATCCATAACAAATTACTTATGTAGGTTCTAAGCACCAATCTAGAACAAAAGTCCTGGAACTTGATACTGTGTGAAGTCAGAGTATCGAGTTGAATTGATGTCTCGCTTGCTGGATTGGTTTGGGTGTCCTTGTCAAGCTGCAAATGTGGTTTATGTTTTGAATAACTAGGTCCAAAGTTCATTACTTCTTTTGCAGCTTGCACAAGGGATAAAATATTTGCATAGTTTAATTATCAAAGCATTTGAGCTATGAATACAACGTAAAACAGTGAATTTGATGCAAAACGATGAGTAAAAGTTTGCCCATCTCGACACGGCTCTTGTTACTTCTTGTTGGCATAATTCGTAATTGGGTTAGGGAGACATTATATTGTCTAACCTAGAATTGGGTTGGGGAGACATTCTACTCGGAAATTGGATATATATAGGGTGATTTTTTGCTCAAACATCCCAAAACTAGGCATAAGGAGAATTTATGCTCACCTATCTTATACTACACAAAAATAAGTGTTTACTGTCATTTTGTGGGGTTAAAGAAAATGATACCATACGTTGCAATTTTTAGTAGGTTTAGGACCCCGATAACTAATTTTTTTTAGCGATTTAGATGATAATGTGGAGGCTTTGAACTGCCAGGAAATTTTAGGTCAATTTTTTATATTTTTTTATTGATTTTCTCACATTTTGGTTATTTGTTACAAATTAGTTTAAAAATTTTAAATTATAATTTTAAAAATTTTAGGTCACACTTCTCTTATACTTGTCTCTTTCACTTGACCACCATCTCTCTTGGCGGCACTTCTCTTCTCCTTCGTGCTCTTTCGTTCACGTTCTGTTATGCTCTTGGTTGTCGTTGCACTTAATATTTTTAGTATTATCTT